GAAATATTCCCATTTTTTAAAAAAAAGTGCTTTGTGACCCTTTTATTAGAGTGGCTGGTTATCACCTAAATACAGCATTTGTTTTACATTTATCAATCCATATTTTAATAAATAATTGATACTTCTTATAACAAACTGTGTTTATATGTATGTATATAAGTCAGGGATAGAAGAACATGGCTATTAGCCACATTCCATCAACAGTAGTACTTATGTGGACACCAGTTGGATTTGTTACCACAGCAACATTTTTCGGGGGTGGGCTTACAAGTTTCACTATAGTTCCTTACAGTTCATTTCAATGCAACCAATTTGCAGCTTGTCTTCTTGTATACTGGCCAAGATTTCTAGAAATAAAGGCCTTTCATCTCAGACTTTCCAAGAAATAGGGAAATGGATTGGTATTTTGAGGCATACAAAGTGTCAAAAATGGACCATTTTGTAGAAAATGGTAAAGGAAAGTCAATTTTTTTAAAAATATTCCAATAATTTGAATATTTTTGATGTGAATTATTTGAAACTCTTTAAATCTTTTCGCAGAACTCACATTTTGACAAAATTAAGAAAGAATCTTCAATTCTAGAACAAAAGGCCCACGAACCAGAGCTGCCATCCGGTATACAAAAAGTACATAACTTTAAAGGATCACCGTTTCTGCAATAATTACTTTATTGTGATTCTGTATTATAATAATGTTGCAAAAATAAATGTGAAGCTATAAAGAAAAGAATGTTGATGATATGTGAACTTATAAAACCATATAGGAGGCAGACCACCATTAGTTCTTCTTTTTATAGCAATTCCCTCTCTGTCTCTTTTCTTCCCTTTTGCATGCCCATTTTTGTTGATTTTTTGGTCTAGAATGGGTGAATAGGATTTGAAGTAACATTTTCTGCCAGGTTTTGGTAAATATTCATGATTTTGAGGCGGAAGGATAACGGGGTAATCAGGTTGGCTACGGTGATATGTACGGCAACTAGTTACATGTTTTTAGTATGCTTTTTCAAGTTTGTGTTTCTCAAAATTTTGGTGGTCAACCTCATACAAATTTTAGTGCAAAGGCAAAGGGGAAAAGTTGGAGGTGGGCAAAGAGGTCAGAATTAACATTGAAGTCAATGGGGAAATTAATGGTGGTCTGCATCCATAAAGGTGGCTAATTTACACGGCGTTACCTCCCTTTAATCACATTTGTAATAACCATTGTGGGTGCACGTTGTGGCAATCACATAGCAAGTAGGCCCTATCATGGGGTCCATATATGGACCAGAGATATAATTCGATCTTTTTACGTACACATGTATTTGAATTCAAAGGCAGCAGTGTGTTTTTTTTATTTGCATTCATATGTGACATCTGAAAAAAACAATTAATTTGTTATCCAGAAACATTTTAGTGACATATGGAAAAGATTTAATAATTCTCACAAATGTGATAAAGAGGTTAAATGAAAATTCACGTTTGATACAAAAACCACTGAATATTTGGAATTCATCATTTAATTCTTGGTGTTTGTAACAAGCAGATGCTAAATAGAGAATACTCTGGCATACGCAATATGGTATCAAACTACAAACACATTAGCAAAATCCCTACTGTGAGTTATCAGTTAGGGGTCCAATCCCCCATGTTCCTATGAAGCTGTGGGCCTGATTTGCATGTAACATAACTCTACATGTGGAAAGCAGATGCAGACCGATCTATTCGCTACGTTTAAAAATGAATAGGGGACAGTCACTTAATTTCAGAAAGCACAGCCCAGAGTAGATATTACAAAACACTTTAAAACATGTGCATGCGGTCCGCGGAAACCTCACTTGCACTGACAAGGATTTAACTTGCATGTTCGATCAATTTAATATTATGTGCATCTTGACAGTTGAATGTTATATGTATACCAGTCATGAAAACGGTGAATAAGCACCAATAAAACTATTAATTCGTAGGTACAGCAAATGATATCGATGTTGTAATTAAGCTTATAGGAACCGCCAATGACGATCATTTTTATCCTCCGGAAAATAGGGAATCGGCACGGAAGTGAGAATTAATGGGTTGTGAAACAACATTGAACATAATTGCCGTCGACGCCCAATAAAGGTCTAACATGTCTTTAAAAGAAAACGTGGTCCTATTTTATTGCATGCGGTACCAATATCACATAAAATAAAGTTACCCAATTATAGTTCGGAAGTAAATTAAAGATACATTATGGGAGATTAGATAAAGAGCTGGCAGTTCTCACTATAATAGTTAAAAACTAGATCATGCAAAGGGAATTCGCTGAAAATTTCAATCCAGTTGATCCACTCTGAACCGAGATTTTAGCGATTAAATTTTCGGCCTAGCCTCTATCATCATTATTAAAGTCAGTACGAAAAAAAACATAGTCCCGATTATTCATTTCATGATTAATTCATGAATGAAAGTTTAGCAGCAAATCGGAACCTAATCCAATAAATATCGCAGGCAGCGTTGACATCGAGAGTTGATTATGGTCTGAATAAGTTAATTAATGTCTAATTAATAATTAAGATAACATTTCGGGCCTAAAAAAACACAACCTGCAATAGGCAGATTTAGCTCTTGCATAATGTATTCACAGATTTATTACAGGTTTCATTTTTACCACGTAAAGAGAATACTAAGAAAATGCATTAAAATATTATTTGTCTATTAACTTAGGCTATACATATTATCACACCGACACGAGCTATAGAATAGCTTCAGGGAATACATGATCCCAAAATGTTGTTGGATTTTTTTGGGGATGTTGTAGTAGTTTATTTGTTTATTCTGTGGATCTATATTATTGTTTTCGACTTTGTGATATAAGAATTAGTTCACGCCAACCGCGAGCTAGAAAAGGGTTTCATTAAATGTACTTTCAACGCGAACGCATGGTGGAAATCCATCACTAATCAATATTTGAACGGTCTCTGATCGGTGGTCAGTTGTCTACAAACGCAAAACTGATGTTCGGTTCCAACTTGACAGTAAGCACCGAATAATGTTGGAAGAACTGGACATAAAAGTCCAGATAGTCAAAGCCAGCAGCCAGCGGTATAACCTATGTAGTCTACAGGGAGATTCCGCCGGAAATGAAATGAACTGGGGATTAACTTCCTACCTTTATTCCACAAAGACTGCGCTATAAAGAAGATGGGATACGCTCAGTGTGTTACGAGGGTAATTTTGTCCAGACAGCGGCGCTTTGGCCCATAACCAGGCTATCCGTCCTGCATCACCGACTTGGGGGAATTCCAAGGATCTTTCTGGGCCAAGATTCCGCAGTAACCACGGACAGTTTCGCGTCTGGCTAGGTATACTGGCTTGTTTCGATTGTATGTAGGACTCGAGTGAAATTGCACAATTTATATGTGGCCTATTTGGATTGCCAGTTTTCATTTTAAAGCAACTCTTTTTATCGATCATTAAGCACCTGTTCATGATAATACAAAGCTAATATATATTATGTTAATTATAAAAACAGGTATTGAGGTTAACATGTATTTAAGGCGGTACAAACAACAATTGGTTCGTCTTAAAATTGTTCCTTCGCCCAAAGGCAGCTGACTTTTCGGGCCGACGGGTAAAGTGAAAAAAAATTTATTTTACCTACTTGGCAAAATAAAGTGCCCGAAATCTAATGAAACACTAATTTTACGGGCTGGAATAGCAGTAAAACGCGTTTGCGGCCGTCAAATATTCCAAAATTTTCTGGGGGGGGGGGGGGGGGGTCCATACAAGGTCAGCTCCGCCTCTCGAAGAAAACCGGCGCCGATGTCTGTAAACCTGAAATTTTTTCGGGCATTTCTAGTTTTGCTCCCCTATCTATCATCGAGCCCTAATAAAACACTAATTTTACGGAGTTGACTATGGATTAAAACATTTTGTCTTGAGCCACTCTACTTTGTGCGACATTTTTCAGGCATCGATTATTATTGTGAATGCAGCGGCAACAGTCTGATTGGAGTGTTGGAATTCAGAATGGGATTTCGGTTACAAAACCATTGGATATACTTTTGGAGTTCCTTACACGGGCTAGAATAGCAGAAAACGCATTTGCGGTGTTTAAATTTTTAAAATTGCTCCGGGAGGGTGCGGCCCCCATACCCCGCGACGATTGATTGGTTGCATGTTTGGACTGTAAACGATCGATCTTTTGATTGGAATTCGAGCCAGCCATCTTAATTAGCCTATATTACTATAAGACCACTTTGAAGTTGCTTTGTTCACGGGCTGAAATAGCAGGAAAACGTGTTTGCAACCGTCAGATATTCCAAAATGTTCTTGGGGGGGGGGGGGGAATCCACACAAGGTAAGCTCCGATTCTTCGCCTCTCGAGGAAGACCGCGCCGCTGTCTGTAAACCCGAAATTTTTTCGGGCATTTCGGGTTCCTGCCCCCCTATAGAGCCCGTACGCCTATGCCTTCGCCGTATTACATTTTATTTGCTAGGGTGTTTTCCAACAATAAATCGGCGCAATTGCGATCGTTATGGGCCTAGGAGTAGGCTAGGTGTGTGTGAGAGAAAGAAAGAGAGAGAGAGAGAGAGAGGGGGGGGGGGCTAATATATGATTACTAGTCTACCCAGTACAGACTTTATTAAAGGTAAACTTAAAAAAAAAGAAAATTACGTAATATAATAAGAAAAATAACACCAAAACATTGATATAGTCGCATGACATAATACAAGAGTTATTAAATTCTAAACCGTATGAAATGATTGAATAAATATCAATAAATAAAAAAATTAGAGCATTTATCTATTTTTCAAATTTTGTTTTAAAAAACTGAATAACTGGGGCTGGTAAAGTGACAATTGGCTGTCTACTACTCCATGAGGGAATCATAACTATTGTCGTACGTAGTATTGATCATTTCCCTTTCTTTTCACTCAGCCACTCCCAATGCCACTTTCTTATTTTGATCTATCGACCTATAGGCTTATATTTGAGTCGCAGTATGGTAAAATAAATAATAACGTATACTTTGAAACATTTGACAATTTGGGGGCAATTTTCATTAATCTTTTGTTGTCATTCCTACTATTCTGAGACATAATTATGTCTTACTAAATTCGATGTCAACCAACAAAGGGCAGTGAGAAATCACGTGATCGGAAGCCGACGGAAAAAAAGATGGCGGTTCATAATGACTGAAAAATTTAGAAGGTTTGTACACTTTCGCTTCGTTTACGGGTAAAATCCATTAGCAGAACAATAGATTATGTTATTTATGTTTGAAATAACCACTTATGGAATCGCTGTGTAAATTATTTTAGTATTTATTCATGTCTGAAGCGTGAAGGTAACCAGTTCCGATTTGGTCTTGGAATGACCTGTGTTTCGCCCTGGCCATTAGCAGTGGCATCACATCACTCAATTTGCCCTGTCTAAGTTCCTTATAATACCCCAGAGTTTCCAAGATGCTAATGCAGACTTGGGATTGGCAAACATAATCTTCACAAACTGCTTAGTTCTCTTTGGTCAATGATAAGATAATAAACTAATAGAAGGTTCAGTATGGAGATCGGAGATAGCTTATTCACATTGCATACCCAACCCGGTACATTTAGTGCATTTACTAGAAACTAGAAGTACTAAAAGTAGGGACTGCCCCTGTAGACTGTAGGGCTAGGATCAAGAAATTAATTTATTGTAAAGTTAGGCCTTAAATGTTGCCCATTTCAGGAGACATTTTCTTCACTTTAGAAGCAAATAAATAATAAAATACATATATCATATCTTGGATGGAACATGACTTTTGCAAACTTATAAGACATGGTACGGTTATGGTACCAGTACTCGGTAGGCCTACCGGTCGCCGGTCGGCTACCGATACTTAACATTTAAGCCATGACTTTACCACTACCAGACCAAGTTCACAAAGCATTCTCAGACTTAAGTTGAGAATTTACTCAAAATTGTTCTCCTTATTTTAATTTTAACTAAAATATAGACCTTTATAAAACCTTTGTTGTTTTAATGTATCAAATACATCAATAAGAAACTATGTGCAAAGTTTTGTGTTTCTGGATAAAAGATATTTTTCATAAACAGTGATTAAAAGTTGAGTAAATTCTCAACTTAAGTCTGAGAATGCTTTGTGAACTCGGGGCTGATATATTCAGTGCTGTCTTAACAGAATTATAGGTCCCCAGACAAAGCAGGGCAGTGCGGCAATTACCTACACAAATAGTATGCAGAGAAATATAAATGTAAATGGTCAATAAAATTAAACTAGCTTAATTATTGTATTGATATGTATATATAGTAATTATAGTATTTATTTATTTATTGACAGCAAATCACAACATGCATAGATTAACATGGGCGACTGCTCAGTGCACCCAGACGTTAAGTCAGTCCTGGATTTATTACCTGATTCTTTATTCTCAGCTTGTTTTAAAGCTTGCCTTTGATTTTAAGATGTTACATACATGTACAGCCTAGAATATTTATATTTTTTTTATTGGTCCATAATGAATGTGCACAACATTGGTTTCTAGATGTCAACATGTATTTCAGCCTATCAGCATCATTCTATTTATGTTCAAATGGTGTCTAGTTTGTATCTTTTTCACATATTTACAAACTGTGGGAAAAAATTATATTTTGAATGAGGAACTGGTATATTTGTTCCATTTTAAACATGAAACATGCATTATGATATTTAATGAGAGGGAACATCGTTTTATTTTATAGGTACTATATATGATGTAGTTGTCTGTTGACAATGAGGCGTTTCTTAAAGATATTAGCCTTGTTGGGTAAGTAAATCAAAAATAATAAAACTTTCAGCGTAACACTAATAAACCTACATGGATCAATAAACTTATAATTCAGATATAAAATACTAGAATAGGAGAAAGTATAGGGATTTATGAAAAACGCTTACGTGTGTTGAATCAAAAATTTATCGATTCTGGAAAGGAAATTTTGCATGTACACATGTGACAGCATTATATTCTCAAATGGTATTACTTTGAAATAGATATGGATGGCGTCCTCCTCCCACCCAGAAATGAGAAAAGTGTTTCCTCATCGCCCCAATTCACCCCTTGATTATAATTAATATTATTGCCGCTTTCAATAACACAGACACTGCATGATGCCAACATTTTCCCAGGAATGCAACGTACTGCAGAAGTCCAAAGCGAGCTGGGGTCGGGGTTTTTAAGCCAACCCGTTCAGATGAACCAGTTTAAAATAAAAAGCCTTCTCGAAGACAGGTCGCGGGCTGGGATTTTTAAACTGGTTTATTTGCCCCATTCAGGCGACAAAGTTAAACTGGTTTAACGATCACCGGGCTTTTTAAACCAGTGCAACTTAAGTGTCTGAACTGCCTATTAGATACCAGTACTTTATAGATTGTATTTTATAGATCTGTATTCTGACGAAATTATTTATATCCAAGTCTGGAAATAACCTTCCTGTCACAAACAGGCACAAATTCAGGCTTTATCAGACCCAATCCCTCTAGTATATGTCATTACAATGTATATCTGGCACTGATTTGTCTTTTTTCTGTATTTGTATTTTACCATAACTTAGGTGTGGACCAAGACATTGCCTTTCGTCCATTTCGCGAAACTGTTCTTTTTCCATTTCGTGTAGATCTCAGAAACTGTAAGAAGTGATAGAGAGATACATGTCTGACAGAAAGTTCAAAATGTCAGATATTAGTTCAGTAGTGTCAGGTACAATTAGGATTGTTATTTCCAGGATATTGTAAGGTAGCTATTTCTTATAGAAGTAGGCCTATGGCGTACCTGTAATAGAGGCACCTAATTTTATCTTACTAGACAAATATTGGATGCCTGAAAAACACCGGCAGAGCAAACATGGGCAAAAAATATAACATCTATCACTAACTAGCACATTTTCTCAGGGAGGCTATGACGTCTGTAAACAGGAATGGTTTTAGGGCATTTCAGTTCTGCCCCTCCCCCCACCCCCAACATTCATCGGGACCGTACGCCTTTGATATTTCATGATCGTACTACAGTCCATTGTGGAATGTTGAATTTGAAAAATGGATACATTACAAAAGAAGCTTCTGAACAATTAAATTTTGGGCTGGGAACTTGTAAAAATTCTAAAAATGTCTTTATGAAGAATTCAAGACAAGAAGAGAAACATTTTGTAATGCTACTCTAACATTGATCTTAATGATAATATTAATAGATATAACTTGACTAGCCACTACTGTATCAATGATCTGATGTCCTGGGGAGTACTGGTTTTAGATTACGTTGATAAGGAATTTGTCAGAAACTACATTATATTACTGTTTAGTATCACCAGATAAATTTAACATTTCAAAATTGTACCAATTTCAGAAAAATATCATTTATTAGTTTTTATATTACTACATGTATGTATAAATAGACCCTATACAAGTGGTGGGCAAACTCTGGCCCGCGGAGCCTTGTCATCCGACTCACCAGACCCTTCCACTACATCTGAAAATTTATGAGTAATTTTATCTCTAAATGAAATAAAAAATCAAAATTGCTTATTGTTGGGCCCAAACTCAAAACAGGCATTACTCTCTATAGGATCAATAATCTTTGTAGATCTATTTATAGCTTGCAGCATCACTCAATGAGTAGTTGCCTAATTGACGTCACTTGACTTTGGCCCACTTTCATTTTATGTTATTGTTTGATTTGTTGACATGCTTTGATTTTTCTCTGCGACAAATCCCAGTAACATTGTTCCCACTAACTTCATTTTTCAATGTGCCTGATAAGGATAATGTTAAAAATAAAGTGCTTTGTTCCATATTACTTTATTCAATAAAATGACATTTCATAATCCTTGTTTGGCCCTGGCATTGTTTCAAAACTTTGTGTTTAGCCCTTCACCTATAAAGTTTGCCCATGCCTTTTTACTTGAAGATTCTTGGAAAGAAACCAGGTGAACAATATAGATTAATCTACTAGATATTGTTATTAATGTATAAGTGTGTGATTGTGTTGTATAAAAAACTATCAGAGTTGTTTCTAGGACAACCCTAGTTTAAATTATTTCTGTTTGAGCCATGTACTGATACCATATTTTCACAGTAAGATATCAACTATGCAAGATTAACGTCTTTAAGTACATGTAGACTACCGCCCCCTTCTACTGACACGGTCGATCGCATAAATTATTAGTTTCCTTCCTAGTCTGGACTTTTTTCTGAATGCAAATGAGCTTTGTCATGGATCCATATATGGTATATGTTCTAATATGCTAAGATCTATTTCCGGTATGCATTTGTCTAATGCAAAATGCAGAATGGAGAAATGTAATGTGCAAAATAACTATTATACAGTATATTGTATTATTGAAAATTGTATTATATATTTTAACACTGTGACATTGGTATTGTGGATCAATGGAAATTACAAATTGTAAAACTATAATACCTATTTTGAACTGCTGACATATGTAGTTTGTACAGTGAACATTGAAATAATATTGGCAACGTTATCCTTCCATAATCGACATTGATCAGTATTGATTAAAATGGACCAACATTGAATTATATAATTCATGTTTGTAATTTTGATATTTGAATATTATGAATAATATTTATTTAGAGGTTTAGTCCCTTTAAAATCAATTTTTAACAGGCACAAATATATTCAGTTAGAGATGGGGGTTATTAATAATGAAATCAAAATATGTGTATACAGCAACACTTAGAATAATGTTTGGAACTATTAATTATATGTGTGAATACATGTATAAGATTTATTCATAAGCCTTATCAAAAAAAAACCTGAAAAAACATAGATAACTAGAGTTGTCCTAGAAACTAATAATTTACGCAATCGAACGTGTCAGTAGAAGGGGGCGGTAGTCTACATGTACTTAAAGACGTTAATCTTGCATAGTTGATATCTTACTGTGAAAATATGGTATCAGTACATGGCTCAAACTGAAATAATTTAAACTAGAGTTGTCTTAGAAACAACTCTGATAGTTTTTTATACAACTCAATCACATACTTATACATTAATAACAATATCTAGAAGATTAATCTATATTGTTCACCTGGTTTTGTTGAGGATCTTAAAAAGAAAAGAATTATTAAAATCAGCCCAAAAATTAGTTATTACAAGAAACATTTCAACCGGGTAAAATTACAATCAGTAGATATTATGGATTTTGTCAAGAATCTGAAAGAAAAAAATGAATTATTAAAATCGAGCAAAAAGTCGCCATATATAACGAAAAACATTTCAACTGGGCAAAATTTTCTGGATTTTTTAAAGGTGAACAGAACCTTTGTTTACAAACCAATTTTGATAAAACTTTCAAAATAAGCACTATATGATATATGGCCGACTTGCTTGTTTGGCATCAACATTTGACCCGATTTCAAAGATTTGCACTTAATAAAAAGATTCAGTTTTATGACGTCACTTTAGGAAATATCAAATATCAAAATTCTAATTGCAGCGACCGATTGTAAATTGTTTCCAAAAATATTAAGATGGGCAAAATTTCTTTTTTTTTTTTTACAATTTGCTCAGAATCAGAACCTTTGTTTACAAACTGATTTTGATGAAATTTTCAAATTAAAGCACCAAATGGGTTACTTAATAGTTTGTCACCTGATTTATTATTGACTTGAAGTATTTTTAATGGAAATTCATAAAAAACATTTAGTAGCATTATGTTGTACCAAATCAGTGGTGATTTTTTCACATCTTAGTATCAAATCATGTTAGAACTAGAAGCCTATCAAATTTTGTTTATTTCTGATAATGACTTGATTGGTTGTTGCCCTTTGCCAGTGTATTGTACATGTAAGTACATGTAAGTGCTCCCATAACCTATAAAAGCATAAAAATATGAGGGCCTTTATGGACTGCTTGGACAACTTTTCTGCATGCATGTTATAAATAAAGTTTTAGATAATATTGTGTATGTGTAGTTCCAAAAAATATATTTTTATTTTAGCGAAAGTCACTGAAAGTGAAAGATATTAAAATCAACTTGTTTTGTTTTTCAGCTGTATCTGTACAGTTAACTATTGCTGTTGATAAGACAGTTGGTACCAATGTTACCATGCCATGTTCACAAATCCGTGGAGAAGAAAAAGTGAGTGGAACTATGTGGTACAAGAATGGCTCTATTTATGCCTCCTTAAGTCAAAACAAAGATCTCACCTTTAAGAACGATTCTCTGGAGAAAAAGATCAGGATAGATATTGAAAATCGAAGTTTAACAATCTTTAATTTAACAACAGAAGATTCAGCAAATTATACATGTAAAGTGTATGTTGAGAAACCTAGTAAGCTTACAGAAGAAAGGACTGTTACACATGAAGTTTTTGTTACAGGTAATTTTTTTTTTTTGAGGGATGACCAAATGGCCATTACATATAGTTTGAAATATGTACTTTCTTTACTGAAATAAAACTCTCCAAGCTCCTAAAAACCTGAACTGGAAACATTCCAGAATTATTGTTATATTGTAAAGATATATAAAAATGGAGGCACATGTACATGTATGTGACAGTATATCAAAAACCGTAATACTGCCAAGAGGTTATCTGATAATTCAATACATGTATTCAAAGACAAATCTTAGTAATAAACTTAAAGAAGCTAAATCCCTGTTCTTTGGCATCTAGAAATGGACACAAATGGGTCGCAATGAATATAATAGTAATATGAATGTATATAAACTGATTTACATTCAATCGTTTCTGTTTTTAATGTAATTTCTAATCAGTTTTATTTGGCGAAGAGTCCATATTGAATGGCTGTCATTGGCATCAGGTAATTCCAGTCTACACTAGTAGTATTCTCTTCTGGGATGTGTTTAGCCTTGTTCATCGAAGCATTCTGGTACACGATTCGTGTGCCAATTTTAAAATGTTAATTTTGTTTTAAATATTGGATATCAAAAGCCCATTTTTTCACATATTTATCATGCTATACCGTCTATACACCTACCTTGATTAGCTACTTAATCTGCCTTGATTGGCTGACTTAAACATACATTATGCAAGAGCTACATCTGCCTATTGCAGGTCTTTCTTTAGGCCTGAAATGTTTTTTAAATTATTAATTAGACATTAATAACTTATCCAGGCCATAATCAACTCTCGATGGCATCGGATTTCTCCGATATTAAATAGATTAGAACAGTTCAGCCATATTTTGATTTAAGCTAAAAATGGAGGAGCGAGACTTGGCTTCGAACAACCAGTACGGTGGTTGAAATTATTGCACACGTCTTATCAAACCTTCAAAGGCTAATATCTTCGTTAACAATAGAGTAATTTGAATGAAATTTTCAAATTATTCATTTTACATTATCTATTTTCGAACTATTATAGCAAGAATGGCTAGCTCCTTATCTAAATCTAACATAAAGTATCTGTATTCCTTTGTCATACAATTCATCAATCCAATCCTGAACATACATGTAAGTCATTGCTTCTCCTTTGTCGGACTATATATCAATCCAATAAGAGTGATTATAAACTTAATCCGCATGATTACCTTGTGGTTTCTCCTTTGTCGGACAATTCAGTCTCCTGTATGTGACCCGACAACATGTAGAAACTAGTCATTTATATCACATGTATATAACACCCCTTAGAATGTTCAAAATTGGTGTAGGTGAATGAATGCCTTGACAGAGTTCAATCATGCGCATTTTCCACTATGGATAAGCAGAGATAATCAATTTGATTGGTTGAGGCTTTGAAACATAACTGTTCTTTTAATTAAGGTATAGATGTTCATTGGGCAAATGTCTTGACTGAGTTAATCATTAATATTATCTGTTAAAGCTAAGCAGAGCTAAGCAATTTCATTGGTCGATGCTTTGGGACAAGATAACTTTGATTTTAACTGATGGAGAGTAGTGAAACTTAGTGTATAGTTTCACTACCAGGTACTGAGTTTGATAGTGAACATTTTATGCTTAGGCAAAGCATAGATAATCAGTTTGATTACTCGATACTTTTCAAAAAGATAAATGTGCAATTAATTAATATGTATCGTCTGTTTATTTTGGGATTTTGGTGGTGGACATCAGCCTCACTGTTGGCTTGTTTTTATTCAGATGTACCAAGTGCACCAGGTATACCAATTGTAGAAGATATAGAAGCTGATCAAGCTACAGTCAAATGGACACCTAGTCTATTAGATAATAACAGACCTATAACAGCTTATATATTACACATCAGGTACAAATTATAATTATACTATAGTTGAAATAAAAAAGTTAGATATATATATATTTTTACGTTCTACGGTTTTTTACCGTTGAAAGGTTCTAAGCATAGTCAACATCACATTTTCTAAACTCTTTGATTTGGATAAAAAATTTAATTTCATTGAATTTACTTTGTTGATTCATTTGATGAAGTGAGTATCTGTCCATATTCAATATTTTAGGTTTAGAGTAATAGAGATAGACAACTCTATATGCTACAGTTTATATTTTTTGAAGCCAAAAAACAAAAGTAAACCCAATTTAATGAAAGAGGTATTTTTGGCCAAAAATAAGATATTATGATTCAATAGATCATATGGAAATACATTATATAATTATTGAATGTCAATTATTATAATATCATTGAATGTAAAATATTATATAATCATTAAATGTAAAATATTATATAATCATTAAATGTAAAATATTATATAATCATTAAATGTAAAATATTATAATAGAAAAGTACATGTTTTAAAATTTGATATGACTCAGTCATGGTGAGTTAAAATTGAGAAAAACAAAATTCAGTATCATCACTAAACAATATATGACTGGTAAAGTAAGATAGATGACGCCCAATGTGGTAAATTTATGTGAAACCTCTGATAAATTTAAACGTTCAGCGTATATAATGTAAATTATAGTGACTTTCTTAATATAATTTCTTAATTGACTTAAATAATAGAAATACTTCAACTTCTTCCAAAGTAGAGCTGTAAAACACAATGCTATATTGCAGTATAAAATTGTGCTGCAATACACCTGCGAACCCTAAAAGGTACACCAAACTTTATGATTAATTTCTGTCATATTTATATTTCAGTAAATGTGATCGTAATGATAAATCAGAAAGAGATATAATTGTAAGTAGTGCTGTAGTAACATATACCATACGGGAACTTAAGCCATATACATGTTATCATGTACAAGTTGCCTCCAAAAACAGTGTTGGACGTAGTGTTTTTAGTGCCACCAGTGATGATTTTACAACTTTAGCAGCAGGTATTTTATTTATAACATTTTTTTTAAATATACCCCACTTAACTTTTATTCCTACTACTCACCTTCCTTGTGTTCTGTTACAACATAGTTGTCAGTTTCATTGAAACAATTTTGAAAAGTTAAGTTTTTCTAAATAGAGAAATCAGTTGGCATTTCTGATTAGTCATGATGAATTTAGTAATATATAGAGTATTTTTATGCCTTTCAGCACCTTATTTGCTTACCTTTTAATAACCCAGAATACAAAATTTGTCATACTTGCCTGTATTTCTTTTCATAGCACCATCAGCAGCACCAAATAATTTTACAGCTACTAGTCCTAATAGTTCTGAGATCAGACTACAGTGGGATCATCCTGATAAAGAAGATATGAATGGTCAACTGAAGGGATATATATTGGAGTACAATATAGATAACTCAGCTGAACAAACACTTCGACTTGAAGATCCAACTAAAACTGTAAGAAAATATTTAAAAAATAGTACTGTGGTTGTCCCAGTACGAAGTCTGTCCACAATAATGTTTTGCTGAGTTACTGTTACTGAAAGCTTGTAAACTTTCAGTGATAAGGGTCAATCTGTGATGTTAACGTGCATAGATTATGCCCCCTTATTGTACGGAAATCGCTGGGTTTTTTTTAGCTTGTTCTCTGTTCATCTCTTGCAAACTGTGGCCATATATAGCATGGCAACCACTTGTTCTGAAAGGGGGGGTGTGTCAGGGTGGCTAAGTGGGTAAGACGTGGGCTCGCTAGCCTGGAGGTTGGGTGTTTGATCCCTGCATTGGCCGAGAAAGTTCATCAGATTTCCCGGCGTGGTTCCCCCTTGTCAGTGATGCAGAACAGAGGGCCTGACAAGGACATCTATCTGCGTGCACGTAAAAGATCCCTTGACAGTTGGAATTTGATATAAGAGTAGGCCATAGTGCCGCTGTCCGGGGGAAAATGTCCCTCATAGCACACTGTATGGCGTATGCCCGTCTTCATTAGCCCCTTTCAAAGCAGAACAGTAGGACGTTAAACTCCATTTCATTTCATTTCATTTGTTCTGAAAGGCCATGAACTTAGAAAAATGTCCAAAGTTTGAGACTAAAGTGATTTCTCAGTGAGATTTTAACTAATTAAAGAAAGCTATATATTCCAGTACTAGTATAGCTATATCAATGTTCTGTAAGTATCAAGTAGATGACCCCAAAAAGTCGTTGCCTTTTCAAAGCAATGTGTGTCATTCTGAGCGCAAGGATACATGAATATAGTACTCATTAGTTGTTTTGTTTTGACAAAGTGCCTGTAGAATGCATAGTAAGGCCATTATTACAGCTGCCTGCCTATTTTGCCTACAGATCTAGTTTCTATTAAATTTATTTTATTATAGAAAATGGTATTACAAGGACTAAAGCCGTTTACATTTTATGAAATATCTATAAAAGCATATAATGAGATATCCGAAGGACCTAGTCAATCAACAGTTGCAAGAACAGCTGAAGGCGGTAAGTTTTCGAACATGTTAATAAAAAATGTCAAGCCGGATCAGAGATGAAGTGTTTTATTGAAGAGTAACATGTTTCGATTCAGACTGTTAGATATATATAGATGTGCTATTCAGATAGAATTCTGCTAATTAAATTCAAAAACTGATTTTGAACATTATTTTCCACTAATGGGGCATTTTCTACTAAGATTAAAATGTCTGGCTTATATTAACCATGAATTTTTTTTGCAGTGCCTTCAGCACCAAGAATAACACATCTTACAGGCAGAATGTCGGATTCCTTTCACGTTCATTGGGAACCACCTAAAGAAAAGAATGGTAATTTAATCAAATATGAACTTCAGTGGCGTCACAATTCAACATTACGTACCCGTATCATTCAAGGACACCTAGCTAACCCAATGACAGCCTTTGTAACAAATTTAGGTAAGTTATTTAAATAATTGTGCATGTGATAAATGAGATTAATTGACTTTAATGTTCAGACATTTTTTGTAGAGTAAACAATATTTTTACTAAGGTTTTTACTAGTCGGGAATACTTCTGAGATCTTTTCTTGGCAGTGAACAGACATTTTTCGATTTGCTTTGGTTTGACTATAGTTCATCAAATAAGAATGTATGAAAAATTTGACACACATCTTTCAACCCACACTAAGAGGGGTTTAATATAGGCTATGCCTGTTCCCCAATCCCTATTCAGATACAAATCTAAATAAAATATTGCTTATAAACCCACACTAATACACAATGTATAAACATTTTAAGATTCATTAATTCATTCATTTAGCTAAATAAATTTAAAATCAAAATATACTTGGTTGCTCTTTTTAGAAGCTTTTTGTTCCAGTTATTTAAATTTTGAAATGTTAAAGAAAAATCATACTGGTGACTTGAGTAACTATTTATTTATCAATACCACTAAGAACTAAATATTAAATTGGTTTGGTCTAACTATGTCTGGTACATAAGCCAGAAAACTCTATCTGCTGTCTTATGAAAAGTATATGTGAAACTTCAAATGGTCATAAAAAGTAGCCATTACTGCATACTCCTCGGGCAGTGTTTCGTTTGATTAGAACTGATCCCAATTACACTGAGCACTGTAATGGAAGCAAATTTCTGTTCCAAATTATGAATCGTTAATAGTCCGATTAACAACCAATAGCTAACTGCGTAACAAAATCATTATGCTTTAAACAGAGCTCACAATTTTATTATACCCAATTAACCAGTGCATAGCAGAATATTGCAGAAAAACTAATTGCGTGACAAACGAGGCTATCATCAACATGTATACAATGTAAACAATACTGTTTGGAGACGAACAATACTTTCACCGTTTTTAATACCTTAAATCACTGTCCAAAATTTTAGGAACAACCCCAGATTAAATGAAGGGCTGTCATGTTGCTGTACAATGGCCAGAGAGGGATTTTTCGGGCCATTGCTTCAGGAATATGCCATTACTGCTGTCATACATACTGTTGCTTGCTGTACATACTGTTTGCACCATGGACTGTCTTTCATCATATCAGGTGTCTAAAATTGTGTAGACTGGTTTGATCCTGACAATTGTTCAGAACTAAAGAACCATTTTTCAGATGTAAATGAATTTTGTGTTGTCAAGAAAAATTTGACGGAGTATATTTTGACTTATTAAAGAATGTGTATGTTTTATATAGATCCTTACACAGAATATAAATTACGCGTAGCTGCTTTTACTGGCGGCGGTAAAGGACCTTTTAGTGAAGAATATCCAGCTTTAACTGATCTTCGAGGTAAATGTTTGTTATAGAATTTGACACAAATGGCTCAAAGTATATATCTGTTTAAATTGAAAGTATAATGATGACAGTCTATCTATTATTTGTGATAAAAGGTAAATTGAAATCTGTGCAAATCTTAAAGTGGAGTGAGATGGAATATATTCTAATTATTCTTTGATCAAAAATCGGCTAGGATCTTTTAGTAGTATTTATGTAATCTTCACCCATGTCTGTCCAGCCACCACTGTTGGTCCAGCGGTCAGTTGTTCTTGTAATGTATGTGGCCGGTTCTTAAGATATTTTTAAAAACACGGTGAGTTATTGCCCCATCACTCTATTGACTGATTCATCTATTTTCGAAAATCCAAATAAAGATGTTTTGCCATATTTCAGGGCCATCAAAGCCTATAATACGTAATTTGACAGTTTTATCACCAAATACCCTATATTTAGCCTGGGATAAACCCAAAATTTACTATAAAAAGATTGATAATTATATACTGCGCTGGAGTGAGATTAATGGTGAAAACGTACCAGAAGATAAGTTATTAGATGGTGCTGTACAGGAAGTAAGTATTTACTTATGTAATATGTTTTACAGTGATTTCATGACAGATTCCTTAAAGGTTTGATTTCATCAAGAGAATAGAAATTGTATGAAATATTTGTAAAATAAAACTTTTTGTTTCAGACAATTTTAAAACTGCCAGAAAATAAGATGTATAAAATCAATATGGCTGGTATTACACAGGGTATCTTCTCTAAAAGCCATTTTATTGGTGAATTCACTACACCACGAGAATTTGTAATGGGAGGTAAGTGACTCACAATTTAGTTATTTCCTTTTTATGATTGTGTAACCAGTTATTTTGTCATTTGCCATGGATTGATATATGATTTCAGCTAATGTCAGTAATAACATTATTAAATGTGAGCTGTTAGCTTAAACTAGACAATAGAGATATATATCATTAAAGGTAAGGTCATATGAAAATAATCTTCTGGTTCTCAGATGCTGATCATTCGAGGCGGTTTTTATTTTGTTGAATTCTTGGCGTTCATTTCCAACGTTAAAGGGAGGTAACTCTATTAAATGATTCCGTTGGAAATTTGTAGTGTTTAGTTACATTGATAATCAGAAATTCCGACTATAGATTCAAGTTTTAAATATCTGGATCTAGTTATAAAAAAGAAATTACTGAAATTATACTACTGGAAACAGTAGCAATAGGTTAAAACTACAAAATCTGTACTTTCATCTGCTTGTAAATAAAATTTTGGCTATAATAACGAAGTTTAGATATAGTATTACAAGTCAATCAGTAATTTCTATAAACAGCATGATGCTGAAGTAAATGTAGAACCTTGAAATGTGATGTTTGTGATAAGTCAATTAGTCCCACAATCCTTTGTAAAAATAAAAAAAAAATAAAAAAAAATAAATACTTCTCTTTCGGATCAAATTTTTTTGATGTATGGCCAGAAAACAATCTATTGTTTTGAAATGGTCTAACAATGATTGTTTATTTTTGAAAAATGCTAGTATGAAAGCAGGGAAATATTTATATATTGTGTTACTGTTAGTTTATGTGTATTGAATATTACAAAATACACTGTATGTGTATGACTAAATATGCACTTAATTTTCTTTAGGGTAAGTTATTCAGAAATTTTGATTATACTTTTAAAGTATGGACAACATAAATTCTGGTAATGGTTGCTTTCTAGAAAATTAATCGACTTTAAGGGAACTGATATAGAAACGGCAAAACTTAAAAAATGTTATGAGAATCTTTAGGAAGATTAAACCTTCATATTAAGTTTTAAATGATGCAAAACTGTAATTCACTTTCATTTCAGACCCCAATGCACCATTTAATGCAGACAATGATGTGGCATCTGCTGGTATTATAGCAGGCGTAATAACAGCCATTATTGTTATTCTTGTTATTGTTCTTATAATTGTTAGCTACAGGTTAGTAGAAAGTGTTGGGTTTTTGTTCTTCAGAATATTTATTATTAGAATTTTATTAGTCTTTTGATAAAACTAAACATTATTGATTTAGATGTCATCAAACTCTGACAAAATGTCCCAATTTTTGGAGAGGAAGCTTATTAATGATAAAATACAAAGGTAAACATTTTTTTTTTGACAAATTGCCTTTAAGATCTGGATTAAAAAAAAGTTCCGTTAAATTTTTGATGTATTTTATTATGTTTATTTAAACTTTATTTAAATTTCAGATCATTTCAGTGTAGAAAATGCTATCAAGCAGCATATTATTATTTAGCTGTTCCCAGTAATTCTAGTTCAGCTCCACCTACAGTTATAACAGTAGCAGAAACCTCAGGTACAAACTGTTCTTTTAACATCTTGAATATCACATAAAGAATCAAATATATTGCTTTGATATTTACAGTTACAGAGTAAATACCTCAAACCTTATTTTTATTCCGTTCCAAACCAAATGTGAATGATTTTGAAGTGATCTATTACAGTACAGATGTTTGTAATTTGTAAAGTGTAATGTGATTTGATTTTTTTTACATCTGTATTTTGTGAGTGTAATGTGATTTGATTTTTTTTTACAGATGCAAAAGATTATCCTGATATTCTAACAGAAGATTTTATATCACATGTGGAAAATCTTCATGCTGATAGTGATTTTGGTTTCTCTCAAGAATTTGATGTAAGTGATTCTTACACATAGTGGTTCTTCTCACACATTTTCATTCTTCTTACACATGTAGCATAAATTGGAAAACTGGCGTTGAATTAATATACAATTTTTTGTTTGCTTGGTTAATATCACTGTGACGTGTATTTTGTTAAAAGTTGTACTATTACAAGTCTAGAAATGATACAGATGTAATTATTACTTCATGTAATGTTTTCAGGATGTGAACAGAAATACCAAAACTGATTTTAAATCGGACAGTTCATCCCAACCAGAAAATAAAGGAAAGAATCGTTATATTAATATAGCTGCTTGTAAGTATTTTTACACAATAACATCTGTTAGTATAATTTATTGGTATAAAGTTTACTTCTGAAGTTATAAGCTTTCTTAAATGCTTAAAGATACATTATGGGAGATTTTAATAGAGAGTTGGCCATTCTTGCTATAACAGTTCAAAAATAGATGATGAAAGAAGAATATATTGAAAATTTCAGTCAAATTACTTTATTCTGAACAAAGTTATCACCATTGTAATTTTTGACTAGAAATAGGAGTCAACCCTCTCTTCACCGTCTCCGAGTATGACCGATTGTTTGATTGACAGACATTAACTCCACCTACATAATCTCGATACAGGGCGCACATGCTAACCATTCGGCCATCCACCCCCAGACAAATAGGAAACAGTGATCCAATGTGGCTGCAATTCAACTGGGGTGATGTTAGCTGCGATGTTTATCAATTTCCATAATTTTTCTGTAAACGCAAGTGACAAAAGAGCGTATAATACCGACATCCAAACTTTCATTTTAACCACAACTAAACATAATATCAAGGCCGTATATATCGAACTTTCAATCAAATTGACTGACATGCAGCCTTGCTCAACAGCGGCCTCGCTTCGTACACTCTATCATTTAGCCTCGATCTAAAATTTCCGGGAGTATGACGTCAACGTAACAGTTAATCTTCGCTTACGACGCCATTTAAAAATTTAATCAATCAATGAAATCCTGTTTAAATCCAAGCCGAATCCAAGCCATCCGTGGGTCTACAGAGTTGATTTTGTGCTTGTTGTGTAAATAAAGATCTAATTCATAATTTCTATGACATCTGGAGCCTAAATAAAGACTTGCAATAATCAGATTTAGCTCTTGCATAATGTATGTTTAAACCTTGTTAATTAAAAACTAGATAGTTTTGTCCAGATGGTTCATATTTCTTTATTATACACCTTTTGCATATAAGGTATATTTATAGTGGTTTGAAGTGGGTTTGGGAGGTCAGTCTAACTTGTGGTGTGGTTTCCAGCTAACACTTGTATGTGACAAGGAGTATGGTCGCCTGCCTAACCTTGTGGGTTTTCTCTGAGTCCTCCAATTTCCTCCTACAGCTAAAGACAACTATGCACAAGTGAATTATTGAAATAAAATTGAGCTGATTATTAGTCCCGAAATGAATGACCTACTTTTATGAGTGGTCATTAAACCTCCCTCTCTCTCTCTCTCTCTCTCTCTTTCTAATGGTTTGAACAATCCACAGAGAAGTTTGGTCATGCGTTATTCACACAAACCTTGTTTTTCTTGAAGTTAGATGTAACAAGAATTAACTGTGTGACACAAAAAAAGATTAGTTTCTGTAAAAATTTGAAATAAAAATGTATCAAGTATTTTATGCATGATTCAGAGTTTTAATAAACATATAAATAATTTTTTTTCTCTTAAATTCCAGTTGATCATTCAAGAGTTATATTGAAAACTGAATTAGGACGTATACGGCAGTCAGATTATATCAATGCTAATTATATAGATGTAAGTCATTAATTTCTTTTATATTAATTTCATTTTTACAGCCAATATCTTAAATTGTTTTTCTTCTTATCAAAATCGTTTGTTAAAGTTGTAATATCTAAATTATGGTAATTTTATTTAGGTTAATTTGCTGATTCTCATAACAGCAAATATACTGTGGTGTTCTCAATTACCTCCTAATCAAGAAGCCTACTGTTTGCTTTAAAAAAAAAAACAATTGATGCCCATCCTTAACACAATCTAATAAAAAAAATTAAAGGTTACAGTTTTGTTTTGTTCACGATTTTAGATTGTTACTTAACATTGTCAGGCATTGTCGGGGGAGGGGGTAATACATGTCGACCAAGTCTTGAGAGGGAGAATAGTTTTAAGTTCATTAAAAACTCAGGCCTTCTCTTCGAACCTGTTGTTAAAAGTAAACACAGTTTGCTTCATTATCAAGTCTCTTATCTGTTATTACCGTATAATTAAACAATCAGACCTACACAATGAAGACTACAAAAAGATTGTAATCAGCGGGGAAATTGTCCTGTAGAGTGGTTTCATATCTAGCCAGGTCTGTGTGGGTCGATTTGTTGTGTTAATAATAATAATCATGTCACGCTTGTTCGGAACGGGATATTCACATTTTCTGTACGATTTAATTATTAAACTAATATCAAAACTGATAATCTTGCCGTCCAAGCCACCTGCAGATATTAAAATTGAATTTGAAACCTTTTGAAATGAAACCCGTAATACGAATCTGTCTACAAATGAATACTAGGAGACGAAATGTCTCATTTCCCGGCTGTGAAATAAAATGGCGGCAATACATGATATCTATGATATTAAGAGCATTGACAACGTAGAGAATCTATGGAAATGGAGTTAGTTAGAGAGGGAGGTGGGCGGGAAAGCAGTGGGCCTTTTGATTAGGTGATTACGTCAACCGGAAAAAGGCTACGGCAATGTTTGTTTTAGGAAAGTAACTACGGAAGTCCGGGGTGGAAAGTTTTTCTTGTTTTGTTGCTTTTTTTCTTTGACTTCGCTGGCATTTGATGTACCACTTGAGTATACTGCGACTCCAAATTTGACCAAAAGGTGGCCCTAGAATGCACCATTGCAAGTTTAATTGTACGATAATTTTCCGGGGAGCATGCCCCCAGCCCTCCTAGTAAGACGGCATGCCTATGGCGTGTTGCAGTTGCACGGCTACAGCGTGATGATTTTTTTCAGTTATTTTTGGGAAGAGACAAATTCATGCCTGCATTGTAGTCTAACATAACTGTCTATTGGAACACCCATATTCTGCCAGTCATCTAATCTATAACAATGTCAATGTAGATGATAATTCGGTGATTATGATTAGGCCAGTCACATGTTAATTGGACCGTCAATAGACACTTGTCAACTGGTGGTGTGTATAGACAGTGATATATTGTACAGACAGTGATATATTGTATAGAGAATGTATATACTATGTGTAGTCCCTGTGATGTCACCAGCCATTCAACCGGATTAAGGTCGTAATTGAAAAATTGAAAAGCGTTTTGGGGTGTCGGATACTTAAACGTTAATAGTCGAATTAATTTTAATCAGATTGGTGTGAACTTGCCGTAAAGTGGATATAGTAAGCATTGGCAAAACGTACAAAAAAGTTTTTTTTCGCCCATCTTGTGTACACTTTAAACGTTTTTATTTGATACCCATCTTCATTAGCCCAGTTATGGCAGAACAGTAGGACGTTAAACCCCATTTCATTTTTTTGTGACAAAACAGCCATTTTAGAATTAACATATTTTAAAGAAAGTATTTTATTTTGTAGGGCTATAAGAAGCCTAAGGCATATATTGCCACACAAGGTCCTTTACCGCAATCATTTGGTGATTTCTGGAGAATGATATGGGAACAGAATACATCAGTTATTGTAATGATAACTAATCTAATGGAGAGAGGAAGAGTAAGTATTTTATGTATTTTATTTACTTCACTGCAATTTGATTATAACTCACTTGGCGCCAGTTTCTTGTTCAATCTTAAACAGGTTTGTGTGGGGCTCTTATTTGATCTGAAGTTCTGAAGTCGTTCTCTAGTGATTTTGAATTTTTCAATTTTACTGCTTCGTGATTGTTTGTTTATATTGATATTTCAGAACAGAATTAAAATATTTGAAATTCAACTATCAGGCATTTCTTAATTTTTATATGCCCACCTGTTATTGTGGTTGACTGTATAGTGTCATTTCCCCTGTCAACACTTGCTTGTACTCACTCTGTTACTCTACAGAGTTAAATTCTCATGAATTATGAGATTTTTCGCAAAAGTATTTACAGCATTTGGTTCCTACTCTTGATAACTTACAATATATACTTGTACTCACTCTACAGAGTTCAATTCATTTTTATACGCCCACATTGAAATGTTGTATATTGTTGTCGCCCTCGTCCGTCCGCCGGTCCGACATCCACAGTTGCTTCTACATGCTCCAGAGGCTAAAGTTAATATCCGATTGACTTTAAATTTATACACAGTGTTTGAGGTCATGATACAAAGAATCATATTGATTTTCAACAATTTCCGATTATTACTGCCAAAGTTATGGCCCTTGATCACTTTGAAAAATCTTGTGACGTTCTAGATTGACTTCAGATTGATACACAGAGTTTAAGGTCTTGAGACGAACAAGTATATCGATTTTCTATGAATTTTTATGACTTGAACAGCTAAATCCATGATGTTAAAAGTTTCGTATACTAAATGTTAGCATGGGGCAGAACTTTATAAAAAACAAACAAATTCTAATGGTTTTCTGATAATTACTTAAACATGCATTATGCAAGAGCAAAATCTGCTTATTAAAAGTCTTTCTTTAGGCCTGAAATGTTATCTAAATTATCAATTAGACATTAATTAACTTATCCAGACCATAATAAACTCTCGATGTCAAGGCTAGCCTTCGATGTTGGCTGGATTAGATTCCTATATGCCACTTAACGGCCATTGATAATTAAATCAAAACAGTGGATAATCGAGACTATGCTGTTTAAATTAATGATTTTAGTAATGATGACCGAGACTATGCGAAAATTTCACCCTCTTCGTTCTCCGCTCATAGTGGATCAATTTGACGGAAATTTTCAGCAAATTACCTTTACACTATCTAGTTTTTAACTATTATAGCGAGAACTGCCATCTCTTTATCTTATCTACCATAATGTATCTTTAATGAGTTGTTACTCTTAATCAGATTTTAATGTATTTTAAATGTTTCATTACCGAAAATAGTAAAAATATGCGACAACTCTTGTTGACTGCCCGGACGATTTAGCTGCTGTGGGCATATGTTTCGTTGCCTGGCAACCTATCTTTGATTTTCTTCAAGTTTGAGGAACAAGATATATTAAGGTAAAGATATATGGTCCTTGATTTGAAGAGTTTTGGCAAAAGCAATTTAAAAGTTATTGCCTCTGAATTACTCACTCTACTCTGTTTAGACTGTAAAGTTGCCTTCAAACTATTGTGAAGGTGGAATGTGTAAAGGAATGTCAATCCATAAATGGTTCAAATCTGTTTAGTATTTAAAAAAATATGATGAATTGGAAAATTTGTCGACAATCAACAGACAATATAAAAGGGATTGGTCAAAATATGAGCACCACCTTGAATTGTCTCTACTATCTTTAAGAATTTTAATTTTTATGTTATTTTCCAGAGAAAATGTGATCAGTATTGGCCAAATGATGGATTAGAATTATATGGCAATATGTCAGTAAAGATTTTAAATACAGTCCCACGAGCTCATTATACTATTAGAATCTTCTCTTTACGTAATATGAAGGTAAAGAAGGTATGCATGCTGTGCCATTGTTGGGCACTTTTTTGTTGTTTTATTTCAGTTCATAGTATATTTACTATAGCCTCTTCAATTTTACTATTATTTTAGTTCATTTATTTATATAGTTTTCAACAGAAACTTGTGTTTTATTTTTAGTATTAGTAGCAGACTGCACCAGAATTTACTTTCCGTGTAAATTTCATTTTGTTGATTTATAGGGACTTGGATTATTAGTCTTGTTTTTTTCAGCTTACCATCACTTATAAAGAAAGGAAATGGATGAAACAAAGTTCTGTCCAAAAATCGCATTAATATTTATGATATTTGACGGTATGTAGGAGGTATTTAGTCATATTTTGAACAGAATTTGGATTCACCCCTTTCTTTTCTTTATATTATAAATGATGGTAAACTGAACAACCAAGATTATGAAATCAAGTTCCTGTTATTAATACTTATTGAAATCATTTATTTTGTAGAGCATGTTCTGTACAAAAATTAATTCTGTTTGCCTTTTAATGTTGTGTATTTCTATGTAATTACATAGGATAGATTTTAACATTTTCTTACGTTTAAAAATCAATGTTTGGCCTGCATTTGCATGTATTTTTTAATTACAAACAAATACAAAAGTTGTTATAATTTTTACATACCTGTATTTGCACATCATTATTTGATCTATTGTAGCATTTTGTTTTTATTTATCACCAAATATTTTAGTAAAGTTTTATGGAATTCTTACTGGATTTTGAGAATAATATTGAATTTTCGAAAAATGAACAAACTGTACTTTAATTTGTGTGCCAAATAATTGAGCAGACATTATTTTAGACCTCAGAAAAAAATCTTTTCTTTGACAATGAATTACTTGAATTAATAGGGTTCAAGCCAGTTTTCAGTTTATCAGTTCAATTCTAACTATATGAAAGATTTCTTGATGTTTGAAATATAAGGAAAGCTGAAAGAAGTGCTGTTTTTAAGACAAAATCCTACAGTCTGTACAATAGTATATAAAAATAACCATATATTGGTCTCAAAATGACCCTTAAGCTCTATTCCTTCCAATAATATTGCTAATTGCTAAACAGTGCCATCAAAATTTTAACTTCACAGATCAAGACAATGTTAGAAAATCAACACATATACAGCGCCAAATCCTTCCAATGTGTTATCAGAGTCAAAAGTGAAACTAAAATTAGTAAACAGAAATGATGTATGCTTTGGCAATGAAAATGTTATTGTACAGGGCTTGTCCCATATCAAATCAAAAGAACACATCAGATCAACGTAATTCGACATTTTATATTGATAGATTTTAGCTTCTAGTTTAAATAAATGTTGTATTTGTGTTACTTACAGAAGCACTCTGTAAAAGGTGTAGGAGAAAGATTAGTATATCAGTATCATTATACAGAATGGCCTGATCATGGTGTACCTGATTATACACTACCACCTTTAACCTTTATACAGAAATCAGCTGAAGCTAACAGAGAAGGTGGTGGGCCTATTGTTGTACACTGCAGGTAAGAGATATTATCTGAACACATTGCTGCATCTCATTTTTATACGCCCACATTGAAATGTGGTCGTATATTGTCGTCGCCCCCGTCCGTCCGGAGTCCACAATTGCTTGTGGACGCTCTAGAGACTAAAGTTAATATCCGATTGACTCTAAATTTATATACAGTGTTTAAGGCCATGAGACGAAGAAGCCTATTGATTTTCAGCTATTTCCGTTAATTGCAGCTAGAGTTATGGCCCTTGATCACTTCGAATAATCTTGTGGACGCTCTAGAGGGTAAAGTTAAAACCCGATTTACTTTAGATTTATACACAGTGTTTAAGGTCATGAGACGAAGAATCCTATTGATTTTCAGCAATTTCCAATAATTTTTGCCAGAGTTATGGCCCTTGATCACTTTGAAAAATCTTGAGGACGCTCTAGAGGCTAAAGTTAATATCCGATTGATTTTAAATTTATACACAGTGTTTAAGGTCTTGAGACGAACAAGTATATTGATTTTCAATGAAGCTTTATGGCTTGAACAGCTAAATCCATGATGTTAAAAGTTTCGTATACTAAACGTTAGCATGGGGCAGAACTTTATAAAAACCGAACAAATTCTAATGGTTTTCTGATAATTACTTAATGAGTTGTTACTCTTAATCAGATTTTAATGTATTATAAATGTTTCATTACTGAAAAAAGTAAAAATATGCGACAACTCTTGTTGATTGCCCGGACGATATAGCTGCTGTGGGCGTATGTTTCGTTGTGTGGCAACCTATCTTTTAAGAATATAGTAGTCTGATTCTACTGTGAAACACATCCCCACAAAATATTAGGTTGATTTAGTTGATACCAACCTAGCAAATTGGAAAAATATTTTTTTAATAGAAAAATACTAAAAAAATGGGCTAATTTGGAACTAAATGTGTATGGTCTGTTTTTCAGACAATAATTGAATTGGACAGACGAAATTTTGGACATTAGTAGCACCACCCAGGCTCCTCGTACACACAGAGTATTATGTTTCTACTGCTAATGATATCTTGGTACTGGCCAGATACTCAACTGGCTCTGAAAATTGAATTTAATGAAAATCAAAGACTGAGAGGCTATAGTTCATTCTTGGCAATGACTAGGACCAAAGTTGAATGTTAACCACAACTAGCAACCTTCCTACTAACAAAATAAAAATTAAAAATGACCAGCACGTGGCATAATAAAAAAAGCAGAAATAAATTAAAAACACCAAAAATTGGGATAAATTGTCCCATTTATCAATACCCCAGATGAAGACTATGTATGGAAATCTTTACAAATTTAATATATTCCATTTAATTATTAGCAAGGATGATTTAGACTTATGAGGGAGAAAAAGAACTGGGTTTAACGTCCACTGGACACAAACTAGGTCATATGTTTGGTCGTCTTTACAAAGTTTATATATTCCAGTCAGTCATCATCAAGGATGATTTTGACTTGAGAGAGAAATGATGTTTAATGTCCACTCGACACAAACGAGGTAATTTTGGGACTAACATATGTTACAGTTTTATTTCAATAATTCGCGTGCACGCAAAGAGAGAATCCGTGAGATTGGACAGACAACACTAGACCATGTTACCTACAAGCATGTAATGGAAACCACGCCACTTAATTCTATGACACTATGATTTAAAGTGCATGTGTTAGACCACTTTTGACTTAACCAAGGGACAAGTTTCACGAATATCAAAGGAAATATACACAAAATAAATCTTATAGCACACTAGTGGGTTTAGTGCCGGTCAATTTGTTTCTTCTGACATATACTTGGACGAATGCCCTTCATAACCACACCTAGCAGTTCTAGGTCAGTCCCGCCAAGAAGCAGCTACATACAAGTAGGAGCGTTTTGAAATTTGTTAAAAAAAAATGGTTGAAATATGGCAAATTTTGACCAAAAACAACAATTTTCAGTTATACCGGAAGTTGTCATTTAAAATTTTAACAGTGCATCGCGTGACTGTCGTCTAAGGGGCGGGGTTGGATGGCCGGTTATGTGTGACAAGAAGTAGGGTCCCCTGTCCAACCTCGTTGGTTTTCTCTGGGTCCTCTGGTTTCCTCCCACTGCTAAAGACCCCTACGTACAAGTGAATTATTGAAATAAAAATTAAACCATGTTAGTCCCGAAATGCCCTAGTTTGTGTTGAGTGGACGTTAAACCCCATCTCTCTCTCTCTCTCTCTCTCTCTCTCTCTCTGTCGCCTAAGGGTCCCCATAGACCAAGTATGATTGAAAATTGCTGACCCCCAGGGTTGTCGTTTTTTTTCAATTTTTGCATGGTCCTCTCGCGGATGCGTCCTTAACGAAAACGGGCATACACCATGCAGTGTTCTATAAAAGAAATTTTTCTGTGATTATCAATTACGAGGGCTGGCGGAAAAGATGAAAGCCTGAAAAGGATAGATCAATTGGGTTGAAACAAACTTTTGCCGTGAACAAGTACAATCATTGAATGAATTATAGACATAAGAAGTGCAACTGTAGTGTTATTATTGTCTTCGTACCAGACCATCTTGTGAACCTACCCATTGAAATCACCAGAAATGGACAAAACTGGCTATAGGGCAGTCATCAAGTACCTGCGACTGAAAGGACTAATCCAAACAAAGATAAATGCTGACATGGTCTCCACATTAAGGAATGATGCCCCTTCCTTTTACATAGTAAAGAAGTGGGCTGCAGAATTTAATCATGGCAGAGAGAGCCTTGACGATGACCTGCGTCTTAGAAGGCGATTCCCCTTCCTTTTCCACATTAAAGAGTGCAAGACATGGTGATGACTGATCGACGATTGACCACTCAACATATTGCCAGTGTTGTGCGCATCTCTCATGACAGTTAGGAATGACAAAAGTTTCTGCAAGATGGGTGCCAAAGCTCTTGACTGCAGATCAGAAACGTGTCAGATTCCTGACGTCCCATATGACAATCTGTACTGTTTTGAAGCGTATCCCAAATTGGAGGACAGTAATCAATATATGTCTAAATATGAGCATTATAAAAAAGAGTACGGTAGGAGAAGGGGGGGATATTGTTTAATTTTACGGAGAAGGAATAACAAACTACAATATCATTCTGTGTTAATTGGCAAACCTAGTTATAATATAATTAATAATAATGATTTGTTTTTTGTGATTGGACCTTCCCTTATATTTATATTAAAACATTTGTACATTTCAGTGCTGGTATTGGTAGAACTGGTACATATATAGTTATAGATAGTATGATCGCTCAACTTAAAGATAAAGGAACTATGAATATTCCTAGTTTTCTCCTTCACATACGCAAACAACGAAATTTCCTTGTTCAGACAGAGGTATGTTACCTTCCATTGGAATATTTATATTTTTCTAGGATCAGTTTTATATTTATTATAATACTCGATGTATTGAAATTTTTTCTAGAATCAGTATATGTTTATATACGATACATTGGTATATTTTCTAGGATTAGTATATGTTTATATATGATACATTAATATATTTTCTAGGATCAGTATATGTTTATACATGATGTATTGGTAGAGTATTTATTAGGAGGAGGAGAATATACAGAAGTACAGGAGAATAATTTAAGTAATTATATCAGTAAACTAACACAAGATCAGGAGACTAGTAATGGAACAACGACAAGTCTAGAATCTCAACTATCAAAACAATATCGGGTATGTACTCTAGTTCATATTCTATTTTAAACAGCCCTTCCATGTCAAAAGATAACTAAGATTGAATAATTAAATATTATTTAATTCTCTTCATCCATGTAAATGATTATTTCTTTATATTGTTTTACTCACTAATATTTTTGTTTGTTTACATTTTGAAACATGCAGTCTTTAACTCCACCGAAAAAAGGTTTTTTTTAAATTTAAAAACAAAATCTTTGTTTTTTTCAGCTGACTACATCCCATATTCCATCAGATGAGGATAAATCACAGTGTGTAAAGCCATACAACTTGGATAAGAATCGTAATCTAGACTTGGTACCTGTGAATTTAAAGAGAGTGACATTACCAGTACGACCTGGTATCGAGGGTTCAGATTATATTAATGCTACTTATCTACAGGTAAATTGGTGTATAAGATCTTCTTAACAAAATAATTTATTCATCACCAAAGTCAATAATGATTTTTTTAAAATGGGTCATCTCCTAATTTTTATTCTTTCATTATAATGCTTTTAACTGAAACCTGTATAATTCTAGGATTATAATTTTAGAATTATAATATTTGATTTAACTGCTTTTATACGCCCACTGGCGTCCACAATTGCTTGTGGACGCTCTAGAGGCTAAAGTTAATATCCGATTGACTTTAAATTTATATACAGTGTTTAAAGCTATGAGACGAAGAAGCCTATTGATTTTCAGCGATATCCGATAATTACTGCCAGAGTTATGGCCCTTGATCATTTTGAAAAATCTTGTGGACACTCTAGAGTCTAAAGTTAATATCCGATTGACTTTAAATTTATATACAGTGTTTAAAGCTATGAGACGAAGAAGCCTATTGATTTTCAGCGATATCCGATAATTACTGCCAGAGTTATGGCCCTTGATCATTTTGAAAAATCTTGTGGACGCTCTAGAGTCTAAAGTTAATATCCGATTGACTTTAAAAAATCTTGTGGACGCTCTAGAGGCCAAAGTTAATATCCAATTGACTTTAAATTAATACACAGTGTTTAAGGTCATGAGACGAAGAAGCCTATTGATTTTTAGCAATTTCCGATAATTACTGCCATAGTTATGGCCCTTGATCACTTCAAAAAATCTTGTGGACGCTCTAGAGTCTAAAGTTAATATCCAATTGACTTTAAATTTTATACACAGTGTTTAAGGTCATGAGACGAAGAAGTCTATTCATTTTCAGTGATTTTCGATAATTACTGCCAGAGTTATGGCCCTTGATCACTTCAAAAAACTTTGTGGATGCTCTAAAAGCTAAAGTTAATATCTGATTGACTTTAAATTTATACACAGTGTTTGAGGTCACAAGGTGAATAATCCTATTGATTTTCAAAGATTTCTGATAATTAATGCCAAAGTTATGGCCCTTGATCACTTTGAAAAATCTTGTGGATGCTCTAGAGGCCAAAGTTAATATCCGATTGACTTCAGATTGATACACAGAGTTTAAGATCTTGAGACGAACAAGTATATTGATTTTCAATGAATTTTTATGACTTGGAACAGCTAAATCCATGATACAGTATTAAAAGTTTTGTATACAAAACGTTAGCATGGGGCAGAACTTTATAAAAACCAAACAAATTCTAATGGTTTTCTGAGTTGTTGCTCTTAATCAGATTTTAGTGTATTATAAATGTTTCATTACCGAAAAAAGTAAAAATATGCGACAACTCTTGTTGACTGCCCGGACGATTTAGCTGCTGTGGGTGTATGTTTCGTTGCCTGGCAACCTATCTTTTTTGTTTTTAAAGAATCTATTATTTTAGATGATATTTTGTGAATTAACTGTTAACTTTTCTACACTTCTGTATAATTTTAGGGCTATTATAAATCGAATGAGTTCATTATAACACAACATCCATTAGAATCGACGGTAGAAGATTTTTGGCGTATGGTATGGGATAGGAGTAGTCCGGTTATAGTTGTTTTATCACAAGTTGATAATGAGGTGAGATATATTGCAACTTAATTAACAAAATATTAGCTTATTAAAGAGCATATTTACTCAATAGATTATTTGGGGTTTACAATTTTATTTATATGCCGATATTGGTACCATTACATAGGCTACCCCAGTCGTTCATCTGACAAATAAATAAGAAGCAAGCCATCGAAACAGGGAATTTTTATTAGTTAAGTAAGCCACTGTCAAATGTATACAGTTTATTATAGTATAAGAAATTAAGGGAAACTAGAATGTACAGACAAATACATGAACCTAGAAATGGCCAGCAATTTTTGTTGAGTATTTCAAACTGCAGATTGGCTAGCAGAATTAAAATACAAGAATTAAGCTGAGTAATAATTGAAAATGTATCTGTGTTTATAGTTGGAGAGCTTTCAAAAACACCAAAAAATTGGCTTCAAGCTTAATAAACCTTGATGCTGTTAGTGTTGTCGACTTCCAAAACCATTTCCATCAAAATGTATTTTTGCAATTGAAGTTCTTTTTTTCTACATTTTAACTCATATTTTAATTGCAATTGAAGAATTTTAAAGAGTTCTGGCCAGAGAGAGATAATTCATTTGAGGTGACAAATGTTTTTAAACTAGCTTTACGAGAAGAGGACCAAGAATATCAAGATAATACCCGTGATTTTATACTAGAATCCACACAGGTAATTTTAAATATTGACCAATAGCAGTAGGGTATTAAAGTAAAGCACTAATACAGTAAGGCTTCCATAAAACTAAAGTTGCCAATGTATTGTAGAAAAAGAGAGTTTATGTGAGCAGATGTCATGTGTTATAAATAATTCGAAACATTTAGTATTATGTTTGACTGGATTTACAACTACAATACTCTGGTTTTGAATCTTGGTAGTGTCTAGGAAGATACTTTAAGATATTTCAAGCTATTTTTCCAGTTGTCAAGGGCAACAGGATGACTGGGTGACCAAATGCAGAACCCTATATAGGGAAAGTTATGACAACTCATTTCAAGGCGTCATAAAGCTCTACTTAACAAAACGTTTTATTTTTTTCTTGCATAGAGTGTCCCTTGCTTGTGAAAACTGTACTAGCAATCACAAGAGCCTGGCGTGAAATGAATAACAGACAGAAATGAATCCGTGGTAACTATCTGTCTTGATGCTACCAGGGTTGGACCAGTAGTCGAGGGTCTCTAAACATGATGTACCCTGTAGTTCAGATAGAGTCTCTCTAAACCATGATGTACCCTGTAGTCTCTAAATACGATGTACTTGGTAGTTCAGATACTATAAACCATGTTTACATTGTAGTTCAGATTCGGATAACCCATAGTTTTGTAAATAGGAGGTCGATTGTCAAATAAATATGAATTTTACGATATGTTAGTCCCGAAATGACATAGTTTCTCTTAAATGAATATATTGTTAACACGCTGGATGGATATATCTGGATGCAGTAGACTTGGTGTAGAAAATTCTAGGTACATTAAAATGTTGGCAATAGGAGGGATTTCTTGCTATGGCTTGTTTGTGGTATAGGATGGGATTCAGTGTCTTGATTATAATCACAATGTTACACTACACAATCTTAAGAATAAACGAGGTAACTAAACATACCTTCTTTTTTTAAAAAGTAGCCAAATTGAGGAAAATATGCTTTTAAAAAAAATTGTTTATGGAATATTCACATATTTTTAACAAAATTATTAATCATTACGGGAAATTTCATATTTCCAACTGGTGACAGATAAAAGCTGACAAAAAATTTTATTTCTGTAAAATTGTTTTAAATTTATTCAGAACTGCCACTTTGAACTATACTTTTTCAAATAGATATCAAAAATAAACAATTAACCATATTTGAAATTTGGTCATTTGTGATTAGCAATTTCTACCAATTTTGATAATGATCCACATAACAATTAAGTGCGCTTTTTGTTGTATAATGATAATCATAGTGTGGTCAGCTATACTTTTCGTTTAAGAAATGTATGTTTTATCGCCTATAGACTTGTCTGCGCCCTGTCTGTCAGGGACAGCCAACTGCGACAAAACAATATAATAGGGCATATTTAATTGTGAGTAGGCACAGTTACTAGGGTCCCAAGTTGGCGTCTTTGTACACTTGACGTCATATTTTCATGACATCATATGGAATTTCTGGCTTCACAGTTGTCGCAACTTTATCTATATACGGCTTTGGCTGAATGGTTTAACACATGTGCTTTAGATCATTCAGTCAAGTGGCTTGGTTACTATTCCCCGTTTGTGCGTGACAAGTAAAGTTGCCTGTCCAACTTCGTGGGTTTGCTCTGGGTCCTTCTGTTCCTCCCAGTTATTGAAATAAAGTTTACCATATGTTAGTCAAAAAAAACCCTAAAACCTAATTTGTGTCAAGTGGCCGGTAAATCCCATTTCTCTCTCATGCCTTATTATTAAGGACAACCAAGATACTGTATAAAAATTGGTAGGGTATTGAAGCTGGAAATCTTTACATGTGAAAATAAAAAGAAAATACCATGGTAGTCTCAAAATATCCAAAGTATCATTTTACACACAATTTCTTTACTTTAGATGACTTTATGATCATGCACATAATTTTGCTACATATCTATTTTCAGTATGATTATACATTTATGACAAAATTGTTAACAACCCAAGATGCTGTGTGGCCAGATTCATGCACATCATTACATAATGTGTTTGATCTGATACAAACAGCTCAGAAACTACAACAAGACAATGATATAGGTCCAGTTATAGTTTTAGATGGGTAAGATGTTTTACTTTTCAGGGGTTATTCCTTATTCTTTTATCTGAATACTTTTGAAATTGCTCTTTGTCCACATTGAAAAGAAACTTTTGCTAATTCTTGCATTAACAGTAGAAGGTACATTGACATTATTTTGCATTGGTTATGAAACAGAATTTGATAATTTACATATTAGAATTTACTAGTTGGTAAAAAGTAATTTGGGATTTGACGCAATTTAACTAGACATTTATATCAGGAATATTCATTTGGGATTGTACATCAATTTGAGACAATTTCTGCAAAGCTATTCCTGGGATATGGGTGTTTTGACTGTCAATTTATTAGTCATGCAATTATTATAGTGGTTTTCAAAGATTTTAATGAATGTTTTACACTGGATTTCTGAAACTGCAGTGATTAGTGGACTCATCAACTACAGCATAACAATCTACTGGTTGTTAAAAAATGTTTTGATTTGCCGGTCAGTTATATATGATGGCAAGCTTTTAAATTATAGACATCTGTGCATTGCAGCTTTTTTCATTAAAATTATATATCTGATGCAATTATGATATTAATTTAAAGATACATTATGGGAGATTAGATAAAGAGCTGACAGTTCTCACTATAATAGTTTAAAGAGAATTTGCTGAAAATTTCAGTCAATTTGATCCACTCTGAACCAAGAATTTAGCGATTGAATTTTAGGCCTAGCCTAGGTCATCATTACTAAAGTCGGTACGATAGAAAACATAGTCTCGATTATCCATTTTTGATTTAATCATCAATGAGCGTTGAGCAGCAGATAGTATTCAAATCCAATAAATTACGCAGGCTAGCGATGACATCAAGAGGTGATTATGTTCTGGATAAGTTAATTAAAGTCTAGTTAATAATTTAGATAACATTATCAGGCCTAAAGAAAGACCTGCAATAGGCCGATTTAGCTCTTGCATAATGTATGTTTATTGTTTAAACAATTTGTTCAAAAGGACTTTTCATATGCCTCATTTTTAATTATATTGACTATATATTTAATGTTTATTACTAGTAATGGTGGTGTACAAGCCAGTAAATTCTGTGCTCTATGGACATTATTTAATCAGCTTACTAATGATCATGTTATTGATGTTTACCAACTTGCCAAACTTTATCATCTTAAACGACCAGGAATTATTGGCTCTCAGGTAAACTCAAGTGATTGATGTATTTATTTATTATAGTTTCTTCTTGTCTTTAAAATTTATTTCTAATCCATAAAATGTTTCAATGTAAAGTGAGTTATACAGTGTTTTTAAAAGACAGGACAAACCTTGTCATTTATGAAACATGTATCAAGAGAACCGTGTAAATAGTGGCCATCAATTGTCGTACCTAAAGTCTGTATTATTGTTCTCAAATTTATGAACTGAAACAAAAAATAGTTTCAATGAACTGGCTTTTAAATTCGTTTTTCCATTTCTTCTATGCAGTCTGAAATATTGGCTTAATCGCTTTGTTATGGCTTCTGTGGCTATGCCAATGCCAAATGAACTTACCATAGTTGAGAAAAATTATGCTGAGCTTAAACCTGTAATTTGTTTTCTATTGTGTAATTTTAAGAATATAATACTTCAGGATAAACACTGACATCGTTAATATTTTGTAATTTGAATTTTATATCATTGTCAGAACGATAACTCATTTCTATCTAATAATATCTTAACCCTTTAATTTTTGTTTTAATCATTTACCGGTACATCTAAAGAACGATTTCCAATCCTTCTTTGATAAATTTGAATAAGGAAAATGTTTATTGGATCTTTGTGTGTTTAAGACTGCAAGAATATGACATGATGGATTGTAGTCAAATACAATTTTATTTACTTATGACCTTTTAAAGAATTTTATTCTAGTAGCATAATAGTTTTACTTTTGTGTATTTCAGGAAGATTATGTTTTCCTGTATAAAGCTATAGAGAGTTTGTCTCTACATTATTTAGAAGAAAAGGAATCTGTTTCCTCTTCACCGCGACATCATAACTCACATTATGGTTCAATGAGAAAAAATGGAACATTACCACATAACAATACCAATAACACACTAAATAAAAATGAGACGGTTATTTGAGTACTGGAACAATTTTTATATACCGGTACAAGTTATAGTTACCCGCTTCCTATTATGGTGAAATGGACCGAAATATTCCAGTTTTTACGCTGATAGTTGATCATATCTTCAGCATTTTTTTAAATTGTAATTGATTTTTCTGTAATGTAAAATTCGTACTGCTACTGATCGTCTTATTCCAGAAGGATTGATCAAAATACACAAAAAGTGGCTTCCTGTTTTCACCAATAATTTTGGACTATGTTTTGTACAGTTGCTATTTATTAACATTTATACTAAGTGGTAATTTGCTTGTTGTGTGACATAGGAATATACTCCAGGATTGAGTCCATTTTGGTTCTTTGCTAGTGCAACTTTTTTCCTTATGCTGAGATGGACAAATACAGAATATGCCCTATTGGAAATGGATGTAGACATCGTTCGATTATCAAAGAGACAATGATTATGTGGTTTCAAAGGATGTCGTTTATGATTTAATTACACACGCACACCATTGAGTGTGTATTTTTCCGCTTAAACTACATGGATGTTTTTTCTTATACTTAGCTTTTATATATCATACAAAGGTGCTGACATTTCTTCTTGTATTTTGCTGACTAGCATTCAAGTTTTTTTTAAAATTTTGCCTGTTTGTTTTTTATGTAACAAATGAGATAATCAAAGTGATGTTTTAATTGTAGAATCTGTTGTATAGTGTAATTTATAAACTAGATGACCTGTATATTATGTTGTGTGTCGTGAATCTCTTGATTTAAATAGCATAATAAACAATTCAGAAGATAGTTCTTTAATACCTGGATGTATATATTCAATATCTTCAATTTCTAATTCTTTTTCAAAGCTTTTTCACATTACAAATGCCTTTTATAAAAACAGGATTTTGTACTTTTCATGGTGATACTTTGATGAAGCCTTAACTGATTTGATATTGTGTTATGCTAAGAAATTAGTAGCATTTATTCTATTATAAATTCATTCATTTGTACATTAATATCTTTTCTACTTGAATATATGAAACAGTTTTCTAATTAACTTACATTTTTCACCCAAAAATTTTATTGCATTGCTCTTTTCTCCAAAAATATTTAAAGACTTTATTCAACTATATAATGTATTAATGTTCCTGACAATGACTGATAAGTAAGTAAACAAAAATAATGTATATTCTTCTAATAAATGTTTAATATAGGTATCAGCTACATGTCTTTGGTAATCTACATTACCCTTTTCGAATTTCAATTTGAGTTTAAAATCTGTTATTCAAAACCAGAGATACATACATACATTGATAAAAAAATAAGATGACCTAATACAGAATCTTCAATAATATACATGTAGAACCAAAATCTGATCATATACGTTGCATGCAGAACATCTTGGATTTCTATGGTATAATTTTAAATAAATGATATTTAAATGTGCGCTGCCTTTCTCTACTACCTTTTTATTTTTCCAGCATTCTACTATTCTTTTGGTATTGAAAAAGGTATATAATTTGTTTTATACATGAATGGCTGGTCCAAAAATGAAAATAGTAATCATTAATTGTTATGATATTTATGTTTATTATTTTATTAGTAATAATCTTATTTGCTAGCCCACAAGAAATCCGCTTTTACTTAGAAACTATTTTATATTGGCAATTTGAAATGATTTGAATATGTATGTATTATATAGACTTCCAGATGATACTGACCAATGACTTATGTATATTATATATATTTTGTAGTATTGTTTAGTTTGTAATATTTAAAACAGGTTGTGTATTATTTTTGTTTATGTTATTTTGGTATAATTCTATTTTATCTAACAATAACCTGCTTTACTTTATTATTTGAAGTTAATCTTAAATCTTTGAAAACATTTCAGAATTATATACTCTTGTCTTGTGTATATAATTATCACAGTTATCAAATATGCATTAATTTTAAAAGTTTTGAAATCAATTAATAGCCTTTATTGACAGTGAATAATTTTTATAAGTAAGTTGTATGTAGAAGTAAAGTTTAAGTGAGTGTTAGATGAATAGGTTATAATCTATATATAACAAGCTGTTGATGACATCACTTGTTATGTTTACGTTGTTTTAAAACCCGTACATCATTTTGTTTATAAATATTATCATTATACCAAGTACGTATTATTGTCATTGATATATTTATCAACATATTTCTCTACTTATCAATTATGATACCTATGCCTTTCAATACATCTTTTTCTACATCATTGGAAGATTTATTGAAATTGTGAAATTCTATACACTTTTTGGTTTAGTACATAAAATACTGTAAAGCAAGAAATGAATGTAAGCAAGAAATTAATGTGTTAAATGTAAGCTACACCTTATTGTTCTAAACTAAAAGTGTGGAGGATGGTTATCATGTTATCGGCAATAAATTATCAGATAATGGGTGTCTTACTTATTTGATTAACTTTCAAGCAGCCACCAAATTGTAATGTTAGAAAATAGGATATAGCTGGTCACATTGATTTCATTGAGACATTGGTGTCTGGTTTTATAGTACTTCTAGAAATTATCAAAAATCTTTTGAAAAAAAAAAAGAACACCATTATTTGTCTTCACAGAAATAAAATTGTATATTTTTGTTGACTTTTAGGAAGGATGGTGATATTGTTGATCTGATTGTAAAAGATAGGTTGATAAATATATCTAGTGATAAACAGTGAAATAAGTTAGAAGTATGTATAAAAATCATAAGTTTTCAGGGCTCAGCTTTATTTACTATTGTTGTATATGTGTATCTAGTCGTAACTTGTATATAAATTACTCATATTGTACAATTACTGCTTTAACATCATTTTAAATCAACCCTTTTCTTATTATTTGTACATATTTTGTTGTTCTCTTTTTTTCTTTTTGTATTTTAATGAAATATTTGTCATTTGTGTAGTCAATGTTATTGTGGTGTTTTTTGATATTTTACAAGTTTTCATAATCGTTTGGTTGTTCTTCTCTCTTAATTCAATATAAAGGTTGTAATATTTTAATTTCTTGTACTATAACTTTATAAAAGTTTCAATACGTAAAAGATTATTTTCAATCTAAATTTTCATAAAGTAACACATACTTATGGAAAACAGCTACTGATTTATTTAGGCAACGTTTCGAAGAGTATTCTTTCAACATTATCAAGAATACTCTTTGAAATGTCGCATAAATACATCAGTAGCTGTTTTCTATAAGTATTTGTTATAATTTATTTATCTATCCAGTTGCTAAATGCCCCTAAAAGAATACTAAATTTTCATGTATTGTTACAGTACGTATCATCTTCTGTTGGTAGTGAACAATGCTTCTATGTTTTTCTCAGCAAGATTACATAATGAAATGAGAAATTGATTTAAGAAAGTAAATATAAATACATGATGTACATGATTTGATTAATACAAATAGGATCACCTGGATTTAAAGAGGTTTTATCAATCTCTTACCAAGACAGAAATTTAATAGACTTCACGCTGCTAATGCATCTTTAAGATTAAGAGCACTCATCAACTATTCATTTGTAAACTTGCTGACAGAGACTGGTATAAGAATTGTGTAGGAACTAAGTAAGTTGAACCAAAGTGTCGAGTTTATAACTTTAAGAATATATACTACACTTTTTTTATATTCTTAGTTGCCAAATATATTTATTACAGGGTTATGTCAAATTTTAGAAGTAATACTATGTAATTTATCTTCCTAGGTTCATTCTTAAAACTTTTATCCCCCAAATTTTAATGTGCTCATGATAAGCCATATTTTGGCTTTTTATATGTACTAATAGTGAGATGACATTTGTTGCTTTCTGTTTGCTCAAAAGAATAACTTATATCCAAACCATTTTTATGTGTATGTTTTCTATTTTTGTGAATGTCAATTATTATGTATGCTTTATAAACTGTACATGGAAATCATCATAATATCATCTTTGTTATTATCATTCATACTTTTTACTTTGTTCACTTTACATAATGTGCTTCATATTAATGTCTTTATCATATTAACAAGAATATTCAGCTTTCCATAGTAAACTCAATCATTTTGAATATGCTTAGAGACAAAGCTCAAAAGTTTGATTATTGATCAATTGTCTATAGGGCAACATATTGGTATATAGCTATACACATGTATACATACTTAATCTGTGTTACATGTAAAACTACAGTAGTAGTGTCAGTCCTCTTTACATCCGTCTTAAATGTTATTATGCCAGCTAGACAATCTTTTTATTTTATATTTAAAGAGCACATTAAGACTGTGAGGAGCAATGTTTAATTATATTTGGCACCATCTAGCCCATAGTAAAACCATTCGATTTATAATAGATGTGATCTAAACAAATAATTTTTTTCCGGTACAGAACCTGTAATTGATCATTTATACCCCAATACCTTACCATAGTTAAATAGCAAGAGTTGGGTAATCAGCAGTTAACTTTAAAATGACACTCTTCTCATTGGCTGTATTAGTTTGTTTTGTTGGATGACAATTTGACCTAATCTTTCAAAAGGGAATTTTAATTCAACACTTTATTTGACCAAAATCAAAGAGGTTTAGCATCAGGGAGAGCATTTGCACTTTTAAAACTTGTTTTAGAGACTGGTTATTGATCAAATTTCAGGAATATTGAGTTACCACCTACGGTTTAAAAGATATGTAAATGTGGTATAGAAATAGCTAGTTCGCTTTTGATTGAAAAGATTGCAAACAAGTTGGCCAACAAGTTGGCCAGCAAGGTTACAGATGAACCTTTTCAAGTTGTGCATCAGTTAAACATATATTTAGAATGAACAAATAAAAAAAATATAGAGCTATTGCCCCCCACCTCGAAATCCTAGGAGAGGCATTTTACAAGAATATTAACTTAAGCAGGAATTGTACATTTGTGAAGTTAAATGGTTGGGTGTAAGTTAGATTAGATGATTAATAAAATATTCATGAATCAATATGGTGTTAACATCAAACTCTTGTTGGTAAGTTCCAGTTAATTTAATATTATTTATTTAGTAATCAACTATATTGCAGACCTGTCATCAATAATATATAAAGTTATCTAATTGTGCTAAATTTTAAAAATAAAAAAAGAACTTTCATATTCATAATTTGAACATTGATTAGAGTATTATAGTTCTATTTTAAATGATAAATGAAAGAATGTGTAGATATATAATGAGATACTGTGTACTCTTAATTCTAACATATCAGATTGCTCATAGTACTAATGTAACCATCCTGTCCCGTTATTATCTATTATATATATATATCAGTATTGTTATATATTATCAGTATATATACACATATTATATAGTATACATGTTTCTACCACATGCATGAAATTATATCTTGTGTATATTTTACATACATTGCCAAGTCTTGAATGTAATTGTGTAATAAAGCATTGTCTGTCTTGCCTATGTGGGCTCAGAAAGATTCTTTTATTTTCATACACCCACATTCCAGTGTGGGCGCATTATGCCGCCACCCTTTTGGTCCGTCGACAAATGGCTTGTGAACGCGATACTGTCCATATTTTTGACAGATTTGTTGTGAAGCATTAGGAGCATGAAGGGACGAACCCTAATGATGTTCAAGCTGCGACCTTCTGAACAGCCGTTTCTTTGCTGAATTAATTAGTTTCTAATTTGTTGTTATTATTGATGACTTCAACATATTTATTTTATTTTTTTAAGCACAAAATCAACTAGCTGAAGAGTGGTGTCGATTTCTATTGGCCGTGGATTATTCGGGGCATTCATTTATGAAAATGAATCTGGGGCATAGATTGCATACCTTTAAGCAGTTTTGGGATGTGAACGCTTTGTGTTACATTACAACACTGATCAGCAGTGAATTTTCGCTAGAAGACTTTCGTAATCCTCTGTGAAACAGATTGACATTACAAGTGTGATGTTTACCCAGATATGCTACTTTCCATACTTCAAATACATGTAGTATCAAAAGCACTTTATATGGTTCCTTTAGGAACTGTCTCTGATCGGACGATGTCCGATGAAATGGGTACTGTCTCTGTCAGCAGACATCGTCGGTTCAGAGACAGTTCCTAAAGGAACTGCTAAAGCACATGCTGGTATGGAAATGGTTCACTACTGATGCCTTGCTCTAGGAGTATCACCGGTACATATTGCCATCGCAGCTGCGTTGGTATTATGGCGGTATATTAGATTTAAAATTCTAACGTGCTATCGCCTAATTTCATCTTATTTCTATTAGGCTATTTAGACGAAAGCGCCATCTTCATTGACGCTTGCAGAACAGTAGGACGTTAAACCCCATTTCATTTTCATTTCATTGACGCTTTACACGTTTAGCAGGCCCGGCGGAGTGAGGAGGCTAGGGGGGGGGGGGTGGAAGTACCGCAAGTACTCTTTTCTCCAGGATATTGCGGCCAGTGGACCCACGCCTATAAGGACCTAGGATGGAAGCCCACCCCCCCAATCAAGAAATGCTTCCGCCGACCCTGTTTAGCATAAACATCAATTTTAGAATTTTTACACTTCTGCCCAGCAACCAACATTATGAAGTCGTCTGGTGTCGCCACTGCGTGCTCATTTGGTGATTGAGCTTCTGGTCGGGACCATTATATTGATATAAACGACTCGCTTTTCGTCTGGTTGAATTGTTGGACGGAGTGATGAAATTGAGAGAGGGGGATAAATGGGGTTTAACGTCCACTTGACACAAACTAGGTCACTTCGGGATTAACATAAGGCTCAATTGTATTTCAATAATTTGCATGCGCGTAGGGGTCTTTAGCAGTGGGAGTAAACCGGAGAAAACCCACGAGGTTGGGCAGGCGACCCTACTCCTTGTCACGTACAACGGGGGAATCGATGCTGAAATTGAAAACAACATCGAATGTGATATGGTTGGCAAATACTATTTTAAGCTAGCTCCTAACCTATAGTAGTAGTACTAGTACTAGTAATCTAGAATGCTTAGCCTACTTTATGCCTGTAACTTCTTACTTACACATGTTAAATTTTCTATTTACACATGTAAAAATGCTAATTTATATGACTTATTTTTAAATATTTCAGAATGCTTAGCCTACTTTATGTATAATGTAACTTCTTACTTACACATATGTTAAATTTTCTATTTACACATGTAAAAATGCTAATTTATATGACTTATTTTTAAATATTTCAGTTAGAATTTGTATTTTGTTCAATTTGTAGTTAGTTAAGTTTTGTTAACGTTTTGACATTTCACAAATTTAATGTTACGCGGTCAAGGCGGCATAATTAAATTCTAACGCTCATTTTGGTAACAGATGGCGCTGTTTACACTTATATGGGGACATGTAAAATCTCGCCTTCTTCAACCCCCCACCCCCCATATCTTGTTGTTTGATTTCTGATTTAATGGAAAACAAACCGCAACATTTCTATTTTGGCCAATTCCCGGTGATTAACACAGCTGCCCCTTGATGTAATGTCGTCTCGTTTAGTAGATCCGAAAGCCCCCTCCCCACCCAGTCTTGAGCAACAAAATATAGAATATACACACAAACCAGAAACCGGGACAACAGGCGATACGGTATATCTATGGTCTAACTATATACCCGAGGCTTGGCGTAAAGAAACGTTGACAATTTATTTTCCTATAGCATTGGACCTATCTATTACTTTGGTCGCCGGTTTTCATATCTTATTATGTGCAACCATTTCTTTTAGTTTTAAATACATATTGTAGCAGAGATCAGATTATAGTTAGGCGAATAACCGTGTAAAAATATTACAGTGTACGTTTTATACGACCACATTTTCACGTCCGTTAACATTAATTGTTTATGGATACTCTGCGGGTCACAATTTTTATCCGATTTTGACTAAACGTGAAATATAGGTCTATCTCCCAAAGACCTCGGTTCCTTTCGATATTGGCATGTATCAGAACGTAACTTCGTGTATTATGGCCCCTGATTGTACGAAAAAATCACGTTTTAGAGGTCACAATTTTCATCTGTATTTAATGAAACTTGAAATGTATGTTTAGAATCCACCGATCTTGGTTCCTTTCGATATTCGCACATATCGGATCGTAATTTCCTGGGCCCTGTTTCACAAAAATTTAAGCTAAAATCACTAAAATATATTTTGACTAAAATCAAAATGAAATTAAAAATTTTATGCCTTTCACGAAGATCGATTTTTACTTAAAATGCAACTGTTGCCAGGTTGAACTAATTAACCGTTACAATAACAACGAGGAGAGTTTCATACGTTGTAACAATGTCTGCACATGATCAGACTGTCGTAGAGAGATGCAATAAATTGCGTATTATTCGTTTTGAAATGTATCAGTTGGTTTGCATATCGCTTTCGTGACCTTGGCATTTGATTTACTGGCAGGCTTCAATAGAAATAATGCGTATCGATAAACTAAATCGCTTGAATTTCGTAGTTTTATGGTATTTTGGATAACAGAAACTATTGAGAATTGTCACAAACATGTGATATTTCTGAATCAAACGATTAATCTAGACTAAAGTATTGTCGAATTTTAAAAGTATTTAACAACTTTTAAACTGATACACGAAATAGCCAATGTTCTGATGCCTAGATTTGAAATGTCAGTCCCATGGACACTTTTAATAATACTTTGAGAATGCCAAAGTGCCACACTCCTTATTGGATAATGCCTATCTATCTTACTAAATCAAAAGATTTTTTTCCCAGAACAAATACCCTTGTAGACTGGAGGCTCAGCGCGGGGGGGGGGGGGGGCATCAAATGGGCACTAAACCAGACCCAACTTTTCTAGAGTAAAATTTTGCGTAGAATACGATGCCGAGTGGTAATCAGTCCGCCGTTGGGGCGTTTACGAGATATTCGGGGTCAAAGGTCAAATGAGTTCATTTGCACTGAAAGTGAATGCGCAGTCATTCTTGTATTATGAAAAGAAGCTGAAAATGATCGAAAGTAATCACACTTTCAATAAAAATGTAAACTTGCTAAATCCACCTTTAGTCTTAGTGACTTTGGAGGTCAAAAGGTGAAATTTACCGTTTTTGCACGAGGAAGATTTAAAGCAATAAAAACCCCTACGCGCAAGCGAATTATTCAAATAAAATTGAACCATGTGTTAGTCCCGAAATGACCTACTTTGTGTCTAGTGGACGTTAAACCCCATATCTCTCTCTGTTTACCAGGGTTTGGAGGGTTTTTTTGTTCTTGAGGTTTTAATTTGGAGCGTCATCTAATTGCTTATATTGCCTTACAATAAAATAAACGGGTAGGCCGCAGCCATATTTCCCATTATTTTTGTGAATGATAGTACGTTTAAATTATATAACCCGGGCCGCAAGACAAGTCGAAATAATTGTGACTTGTCGACTTGTCGGGTTGTGAATAAGTTGACGCGACAATTTGACAAGTCGACAGAATTGACCCGACAAGTCGACGAAATGAAGGCGACGATCGTCAGGTTATTTTGTCGTGTTGGCGGGTTGATTTCGTCGACTTGTCGCCTTCTTCATAAGGCGACGATTTAGATGGCATTTGAATGGCCGCTAACAGCCACCATAGTATACCTAATTGTACGAAAAATGGCTTTTGTTTTTTGCTTATCCATCTCTTGCAAAATGTGGGCGTATCTTGCCAGGTAACCGCTGGTTCATTTTTGTGCTCAATGATCTTCCTCAACTCAAATCTTTATTTACAAATATCTTCAAGGAATTCTGCACATCACACTATTTTCAAACTTCATCGTATATCCAAAGACATCCCTCAAATATACTCTTCCAAAAAAGTAGGGGATATTGAAATGCAAATACCTATGCAGGTTGTGATATGATAAATAGTCATGGACACTAGACATGCTTTGAGAGTATGTTCACAGATGAAGAACTTATCGCCCCAACAGAACCACTGAGCTGCACATGCGACACGCAATAGCGCCATACACGTGGGGATGGGTTCATTGTCAAATTTGACACTTCAAGGGAGGGTTGATGAAAACTGCCGCGTGCCGGTTTATCCTATCCATGTTTGCTTTCCTATCCTGTCAATCGACAATATTGCAAGAATTGGCCGTGGTACTGCACGAGGAGTGGGTCAGATTGCCCCAAATCCTGATTGGACGGTTGATTAGGAGCATGCCACGACGAATTGCTGAATGTCTGAGGTTTGGTGGAGCAATTACTCATTATTAAGACAAAAATCAAAAACGTCCATTTTCACTTTTGACAGTGTATCTCTTTGCGAGTGAAATGACGCCGTCAGATAAGCCACCCATATGAACTGTTTATGTTCATGTGTAGGCAATTGGCCTGTTATTATCATACACTGGTTACCTCTAATAAAAAAATCAGTGCATTTCCGCAGTTTTGTATTGTTTCTGAATACCCCCTACATTTTTTGAAGAGTATACATAAAAGAGCAGAAAATCGGCCATAAATTAAATGAAACTGTCTTCAGCTATTGGTCAGTGCGATTTTATTATCTGCTTGAATGTTTTAAATTGTTTTGAAAACTAATCTTTAAAATTATAAAATGAAGTTTTAAATTCTAAATTAAAAATAGACCCCCTCCCCCGATTTTGTCCAGATCAGAGGCATAGCCGTGAAATATATATTGGGGGGTCCGCAAATGAAATTATATAAAATATTGACAATCTGTGCCGCCGGACGCACGAGGCTGTGCAGCAGCCGATGTAGCGCGATATTATAATATAACGCCTATTCAACCGGATGGAACTGAATCATACAGGCTTATTGAATAGGGTATACCTCAGTTGCATCGGGTGAGTGTGGGAGGGTCACCCTCCCACGGGGGGGGGGGGGGCAACCCCATAAAATATTTTTAAAGTTTCAGTCTTCTGTAAACTCTGTTTTGGCATATTTTACGGGGTTAAACTTAAACATCACACCAATACAATGTTTAGCATGTTTAAGCCAGGGCGTGCCGTATTCATATTTTTTTCATGACTTTTACATATTGAATGTTACGCTTGAGTTAGTGGATTTTTTTATGAGGAGGATCCAAATGAAACAAAACTGGATCACCACCCGATCCGCCTATTATTAGCCTGCGGATCACATAATTTTAGTTTATGAGGATGCATATTTGACAATCACCATAATTAACTACAAGAAAATTGTATAGATATTTAAAATATTCTGTACATTTTGTGTATTATAAATGGATTTCAAAAAGTTAACATAAGTGTTTGTGTTTTCATTTGTACATTGTTTTATACAGATAGAATCTTAACTAATCCTAATAATTGTTGTAAATAAATAGGAGTTATAGGGCCTATGTAAAACAAAAAAAAATTCTTGGGGGGGGGGGCAAGTATATTCAGACCCCCGGACCCCCCCCCCCCCCCCCTGTGTGACGACCATAGTCGAGATCGATCGAGGCGTTACTGTTTCATTACTGAACGCATAACAGGTTTTGCTAATTTGAGCTTTGAAATACTGGCGCGTATTATGATATCGAATCAAAGCAATCATACGTATACACAGATATATTCATAATTATATTAAGTATTTGGGATTTTCCCTTATATTTTGGCATTTTTTACCTCATTAATTCATTCAGTCGCCGATACATAATAATCCCCCCCCCCCCGCACACACACACACCCACCCACCCACACTCACATTTACACTGTTTATCTTCATAAACATAGTGTTCCAAAAATGAACACATAAAATGGCCTTTCAGAACACACAAATGTAACAGATAATGAACACGTCATATGTGTTCTCAAGGCTTGCAGAACACCCGTGATCTGTCAGAGAACATAGTGTTCTGTATTGTAAACGGTATGTGTTCTAGTAGAAAACATTACTGTTCTACTCTCAGAACGCCTTGCGTGTGTTCTAAAGACCCCCACTGAGAACACTTTGGACACATTGGACGGATGTAACAGATTTAGAACACCACAATAGTGTTCTGGTGGATATTGTGAACACGACCTGTTCTGAAATCAAAGAAACGGTCTTCTTGGCTAAATTTAAATAAAAACAATTAGAAATATAGATAAATGTATTTAATAATACATATACATGTATACATGTTACTCTTGATAATTTGGGTATTTGTTATATATACTTCTCAGTGATTTTATAAATGTTTTATATTTTTTACTGGTTTCCTTTTTGTACGGCTCCTCCATTACAAAGGTTTGCATTATCCCCAGTACCATCGAAAAGGGTATGGGATACTCTAAATCAAACATATAATATGTTGCCAATAATTTTAATACCGCAGCCATTACACCTCCCGCTTTTGCTATTGACGAAAACACGGAATCAAAAGCAATAAATATTCCTTTGTATTTAATACTGCGGCTATATCACTCTCCAATACATCCTGAAATAATACACAAATAATACAACTTTAAATTCATAAAGGACACATAGGTACTTCACATTTCCTATTTTAAAGTGAGAATTATATTTTCTTATATTGTAAACTCGATTAATAAGCCTATTACAATATTAAGATTTAACCTCAAACATCAAAATATAAATTCTCGTAACCCATCGGTTTTCTATCCTAAGGATATATGAAACCGATGGGTATGAGAATGGAAATATATTACAAAAATAGTCCATATTCGTAGACAAATAGCTGTACACCGTTCATTGATTTCTGTGACGGGGGGGGGGGGGGTAACATTTTTCCCGACAAATTACTTCTTCCCGACAATTTTGATAACTTTTCTTAGTTTATGTGTATACTAACACAATGCATTCTGAGTTAGAACACTTAGTGTTCTTTGACACTTCGCCGCGTCACGTGACTTCCTGTCATGTCTACCGCTCATCAAATTTTCTCAAACCCAGCGCCTACCCAAAAAATGTTAACCCTTGCCGTGAGCATATATTTTTGAAAAAAAAATTATTCCATTTCTTATCTCTAGCATATACACGATAAACGTTACGCTATACGTTACATATTGGGGTAAAGTTACCTGATAATTTAAACACAAAATAATATACTCAAACGGTACAATGTCTGAAGGCAAACTTGAAACAAAGCGCGGGATTCAATGCGCATGCTCTAAAGGGTAGGTAACTCTAAATACATAAAAACCAGAACACATTGTGTTCTCCCAAAGAACACCAGATGAACACTAGTGTGCTATTTTAATCCGACAAGAAAACAGTTTATTTTTTGATAACTGTTTTCATTGATAAATAAAAAAAAACAAATTGTTTATATAAAAATAACATTGTGTAAGTTAACTACAGCAACTAACAGTGAATATACTTTCATTTAATGTGAAGGCTACACATATTTTATGAGTGTAGTCGATGAGAAAATGAGACGCGGTGTAGTGTGTGTTGTATGTTACTTTTCTAATTTGTGATATTCAAAACGTAACATTAAACAATTTTCATTCATTTTTACACGAATAAAACACGATTTGATATTATATAGCATATCCATCATGATCAGAACACATCGCTAGAACACTAGGTGATCTCGTTGAGAACCACTGAGATCTCACATAGACCTATGTGTTCAATATTAGAACATACATGACGCGTCATGTGTTCAGCTATGTTTAGAGTGTACGCAGCTGTTGGAGAAAAAATGAAATATTGTCCAAAACAAAAAAATTAATAAAGCTTGCTTAACAACTGATCTTTCTGTTAAAATCAGAGTGTATAGTATATACAAATATTATCCATATCCGTGCGGTATTTATTAAGAACAAATGTTATCGACCCAAATATTTACTCTCAATGATTATCTGTATTGTATGGAAGGGATAGTCGAGCTGTCAAACACAGGCCATTGAGGAGAACACAGATTTGTTAAGAGGTCAAAGTTTGTTTTAAACTTCCATATTTAATTTACGATACTACGACACTATTACGGTTCTTATGAGCTTATTTAGCAATAGGCTAACATAGATAACAATAATATCAACTAGGTGAACTAGGTCCTATATTTGATTTGGTTGACACACCAATAAATTGGTATCGTCTGGTTGTGTGACGTATCAAAGTATCCACGCACTTCTCGTATGGAATTAATACATACAACATGTAGATAACTAGGCCAGTGCAAATTATAGGTCACGTGATTTCCTCAGGGATGCGAGGCAGCGATGACTTGCTGAGAGTTGAAGGTTGAAAACACGCGATGTCTACTTGAAACTTCATAACTTTGATAATATGTGCTTTGAAATGTGGGTTTCTGTAACGTGTAAGGCTAAGAAATGGAAATATTAACGTACAATTGTTGGAATATGAGAAGAAACATTTGAAGAAGAAGTTTCTGAAATTATTCTAGATAAGCCATGCGTCGGCTTCACTCATTTATAGCCATTGTTGGCTTGGGAGTGTTGGTTCCATTGGCGATTACTTACTATATTTGGAACGGAGCTAAAGGTAAGTTCTGACCGACAGTAACACTAATGGTTAAATTAAATTCCATTTGTCACTCGTAGAAAGTATATGCAGTTAAAATAAGTTTCAGACATAGACCGATGCTGATAGAAAATGCATGAAATAACACAAAATAAGCAACTTTTAAGTGTTTGTTGACAATACTCTGTTTGGAATTTGCTGACAATTAAAAGGTAACGTATTGACATTTTGTTTTTATCGCTGATATAGACTTATAGTCTTAAATAACTTTATATATAGATAACCCAGAAAAATTATTATATATTATAGGCCTAGTATGGAGATGAATTACAATACAGTGTGCAAAGAATCGTATTTAGTAAAATAACTTCCATTTAAAAATAAAACCCCCAAACCAAATAAAAATCAGAATTACGTATTATTATCGCATAATGTACAATAGATTACCATACCAACATCTTCATTTCATTATGTGTTAAGCTGGTGCTGGAATATCAATTTATCCGAAAGACACAAAAAAGATTCCCCTGTTCATGAAATGAGATCACCGTGCACTTGATGCCGTAATAAATATTATGCAAGAGTAGTCATTTAATACATCAGTGCAGGTGGACATGTGTATTTTCCAATGACCGCATTTTTATGTTAAGGATATTCAGGCTCTACTAAGCACTTTAAAGATTCTGATTCCCCCATAATATATGTAATTCTAAATAAACATAAAAAATTCATTTTTCGAAATGAAACAAAACTTACATTACTTTGGAAAATAATGGTTTTTAGGTCATACTTCCACTTTATTAATTAACAAGTTTATCCTCCCTTTTTTTTAAGAAGGACGTTAAACCCCATTTCATTTCATTTCCTTTTTATACGCCCACATTGAAATGTGGTCGTATATTGTCGTCGCCCCCTCCGTCAGCACCGTCCGTCCGTGGACGCTCTAGAGACTAAAGCTAGTATCCGATTTACTTTAGCTTTAGATTTATACACAAAGAAGCCTAGTGATTTTCAACGATTTCCGATAATTACTGCCAGAGTTATGGCCCTTGTTCACTTTGAAACATATTGTGGACTTTAAAGTTATAGGCTACACAGTGTTCGAGGTCAAAGACAAAGAGGCCTATTGATTTTCGAGGTTTTCGGATAATTACTGCTAGTGTTATGGCCCTTGATCACTTTGAAATACCTTGTGGACGCCCTAAGAGGCTAAAGTTAATATCCGATTTACTTTAGGTAGAAGACACCTATATTTTCAAGGATTTCGGATAATTACTGCCCGAGTTACTGCCATTGGGAACTGATCTATTAATTTTGGTCGCCGGTTTTCATCTCTTAGTATGTGCAATCATTTCTTTTAGTTTTAAATACATATTGTAGCACAGATCAGATTGATCGAAAGTGTGATCGAATGGACAATAAACCCCCTCTATTGTAGTAAGGCGAATAACCGTGTATAAATATTAGTGTACTTTTTTTCATTTCTCACATCAAATCTTTATTTGCAAATATCTTCAAGGAATTCTGCAAAAATGACCATCACACTATTTTCAAACTACATCTTAGTTTTTATCTTCGTTAATTTTTCCTTCCAATTTAGTCTTTCACATTGTTCCTTAATGGCCCCAAGATATACACCCAAAATCTTTGTGGAATTCTTATTTATAGGAATATCATTGATCGTAATTAAATCAGACTGAATATTTCCAATACCAAGAATGGCTGTCTTTTCTATATTGACCTTTCCACCCGATGCTCTACTATAGCGCGAAATGGAATTGAAGCACTGGATAACCGAATCTTCGTCGCCGACCGTAACATAACATTGGTATCGTCTGCATGTTGATAGATAAGTGATATTGAATCCTGAACTTTTACACATGTCAATGTAATTAATTTATTGTCTTTTATAGACATATTAAAGGCTCAATACCACTCTTGTTGTAACTGTATAACATGCCCCAATCTTTATTCTGGTCAACAAATTGTACTACTTTACAATATTCCAATTAATTGATGATACAAATTTCATCTTAACACACCTAATTTAAAAAATTGGAAAAATTCAACTAAATGATTTGAAAAGCCTGACGTAAAGCTTTTCAAATGTGACTTGGATTTAAAAATATTTCTGAACCCTCTGGACAAGTAAAATAGGATTTAATGGATAATTTACACAACAGGTAGGACACTAACACATCTGGTACTTAAAATAAGGCTATTTTTTTATTTTCTGGAGCTGTCAAGCCAGCAAGAGTCTTATTGTCCCTTTAAGGGTTTCCGATATTATAACGAATAGTAGAGCCGACACCGGACAGCCCTGTCGCAGAGATCTTTTAACATCAAAAAAGTTTGAAATATTATGTCCATTGCACTTAATGCAACTTTTTATATTTGAATACAATATCTTAATATTATTGACGAATTTTGCACCGAAGCCAAAACTATTTAATATTTTCGTTAAGTAGTCGTGGTCCACCAGATCGAAGGCTTTCATCTGGTCAATCTCGACAATATATGCAGAAGACATGTCGTGAATTACAAGATCAATGATGTCTCGGTTTGACATAATATTATCGGCGATATCTCTTCCGGGAATTGAACTGGTTTGCTGAACTGAAATAATAGATTTCACCGCCACTCTGAACCGAGAATTTAGAGACTGAATGGACAATTACGTGTTATATAATTGAGTATCATCGGCATACAAATGAAAGCTAAGACCATGTTTTCTGAAAGTATTACCTAATGGTGACGTATAAAGGGTAAACAAACAGAACAGAATCTTGAGGAACCCCAGATGACAAAACAGATTCAGACGACGATTTACAATTAACTAAAATACACTACTTTCTTACCCACAAGATAGCTTTCTGAAAGATTTAACGCAGAGCCACAAATACCGAATTTAAAATGTCGAAAGCAGCAGATAAATCTAATAAAATTAAAAATGTAGCCTACATTGTAGTGTGGATGGAATGAACACAATACTGTTTGGAAGATTACGATGGATTTTATTCATCATTCTTGACCAACCATACAACATGGTTGATACACGCCATAAAACTTTCTCACTCGGCAAACCTCAGCAGATTCCACTACCCTACATCTAGCCTCGGTTGTATGACGAAGTCCGCCATTGGAACTACTTCCAAGTTCCAGGGCCCTATACGCCATACATATCACATGATCAATATACATTTAGAATGGAGTTATCTCCCATTGTACGGTAATATGAATATTAACGTGACAGCTAGACACCACATTTCCCCTCTCCTGGAAGAAATACAAAACTAGCAATTCGATTTCATTTTGTACTGACAATGTCATTTTTAAACCATACTGGTTTTGTTTTTACCCTAGAATGAAAATTATTTGGATGGACAACGTTAAGTTCATTATTATTATAATCATATCGTTATTTGTATTTGAGAACATATATAATTATCATTTTCCCCCTCTCTTTGAAAATAATTACCATAAAATGGAGATAAATAACGTACATTCCATTTCTGACCATTATCAAGTATAACAGTACTTTGAACAACTTTAAACGTAATTCGAAATCGGTATGTGTATTTACTATGGCCCTTAGGCACATACCAACGCGTTTTAATTCTTACAAGATCACCTGGGTTAAAAGTTCGAATAGTTGCTCCTTTACGAGTATGGGGGTCACGGTGGCTAAGTGGGTAAGACGCTGGCTCGCTAGCCTGGAGGTCTGGTGTTCGATCCCTTCATTGGCCTAGAAAGTTCATCCAGATTCCCCCTTGTCAGTGATGCAGAACGGAGGGCCTGGCAAGGACAGCTGTCTAGTTGTTCGAATGGGACGTGTACACATTGGTGTGCACGTAAAAGATCCCTTGACAGTTGGAATTAGGTATTAGAGTAGGCCGTAGTGCCGCTGTCCAGGCAAAATTTCCCTCATAGCAGACTGTATGGCGTACGCTCGCCTTCATTAGCCCAGTTCGGAGCAGAATAGTAGGACGTTAAACTCAAATTCATTCATTTCATTTTCCTTTACGAATATCTGTGCAAGATTAACTTGAATTTTGTTTGATCTGAACACGCTGATCTATATCAGAATTGGACAGTGGAGTTGGATGTTGTGTAATCCCAATTATGTCTAGTAAAATACGCATATATGTCGTCCGTGTAATACGTTAGATGGGGATTCACCGGTTGTGATATCTCGCGTTGCTCTATAATAAGTACCAAGAAATTCGGTTACAGCAGTAGTAACGTTTTTGTTTTCAAACTGAACTGACAACTTCACTCAAAATTCGGTTAAATCTTTCGTTTCACTGTTACCTTGGGGTGTGATAATTATATGAAAATCTATGTGTTATATCACTTTTACGCAGACATTCACTAAATTCGCGAGATTTAAATTGAGGACAGTTGTCGGTTACAATTTCTTTGGGATATCCCACGCAGCTAAATATACGAACGAGGAAGGCAATTGTGGTAGACGTAGTAATAATATTACGGGTAAAAGCAACTTCTGGCCATTTACTTCGGTAATCAATTAATGTAATCATGAATCTTTCGTGTTCAGGTGCAGAATAGTCTGGACCCACAAAATCAAGGCCAAGTTTCACCCAAGCAGTTTCTGGAGGTTTAACGGGTTGCATAGGCGCTATACGCGTAGTAGCAGACTTTCGTTATACTGACAAGTGACGCAATTTTTAATCCTTTCGTTCACATGATAATCCATTTTAGGCCACCAATAGAGATCTCATAATCTCTGCTTAGTTTTAACAATACCCTGATGGTCCGTGTGCTACATGCTCTTCATTTTAAAAAGTACCTTATCATTCAAAGCAGTAATGTAGACGTATATTGTTACTCTTAATATGCGACAACCCTTGTTGACTGCCAGACGACTAAGCTGCTGTGGGTGTATCTTTCCTTGTCTGGTAGCCTATCTTGCAATCTGGTTAAAACACAGATCCTATTTCGATTCGTTTTTATAGTTCAAAATTTCGTTTTACTTGTCTTTACTACACTTGGATCTGGAAGAGTTGTTATTTAACTCGTGTTCTGAATGGTGTCAGGGATAAGCCAATGAAACGGTCTGTTACGGCGAGCTTTAGGCGTGTTTTGCACGGAACTGTGGGTAATCCACTAGTAACATCAATGCTGATTGGTTGATCAAATGTTTGACATCATAGGGTCATAAGTCGGTCTTTTGACCCCTGACGTGACCTATCGCTATAACTTGTCAATTCTTAATGTAGTGTAGGTAATCGAAAGTATAAAAAAACGAAACGAAATATAGATCTATATTTTAATCAGATTGCCTATCTTGTAACAAATTTCAACAGAAAAATGACAGTTCAGAGTGGTCGTTTGTGAACCAGGCCATTTGTAATTACATAATGTATTGTATTATTGTATTTATCAGTCAATCATAATAAACATGCAGCATCAAAATATTAAAATCCAATATTGAACAAGCGCGTGTTATAGTGTAATCAGTAGACTGGGGAAGCCTTAGCCTCTGTAATTCGACAAATAAAAAAACCAACAGTAAGGGTAACCCATTTTGAAGGTGATGTCTTATACTACCAGAGGATTATAAGACAATTCAAAAGTGTGACTCTGTCGAACTGTGACTGCATACTAAGCTGCTGTTGGCGTATCTTGCGTTGCCTGGGAACCTATCTTTTAATATATTTCAAGAGAAAAAATGATAACTCAGAGGGGCTTTTTGTAAACCAGGTCATTTGTAATTTTGCGGCTTATGGTGGGTGGTCAGTGACGTCTGCGGGAAATAGCGCCCAATCGCAAGCAGCACTGGAATTGCAGCGCTGTTTAATCATCGTATCCCCATGCTTTAAAAGATAACTTAACCATAATATCATCTCAAAAATATAATTCAATTTTGTTAATCTTTTAAAAATTATGGCATTACGTGAAAATTACAATTGTACCCCCCTTGCTTTCACTGTGGTCAAAGTCATTTTTTTGTTCAGTTTCACAGATTTTGTACAAAATTCTAGGTCTAATTCCCTAGCTTACGCAGGAGAATGGTCATACTGCCAACACCTCTCAGTGGCTGCCCCTTCAAATGACACCCAGGCACATGCCCTACCTGCCATACCATAGATACGCCTCTGGGGCTGCACTGTCCATGGTAGATCCGGCAATGGTAAATACATGGTGTCCCCTCTTCACTTAATGCCCTAAGAACGGGCTTTTTTGTTTACTGAAAAATCCAGTTCTGGGGATGTTCGACATAGAAACTTTAACGTATGCTACTAGTAGTAGATCCTGTTGGGTAGTGATATGTATGACAATAGGTATGATATACTTCCGGTGTCCATTTATAGTTCAGGATAAACTGGCCGCATTTTTTCACACGAATTCAGAACACGAATCGCGTGCCAGAATGCTCTCGAGTGCCATTTGTAATGAACGAGGCTAAACATATCCGAGGGAGAATACTACCGATGTAGGCTGGAATAACCAGACGCCAAAGACTGCCATTCAATTTAGACTCTTCGCGTATTTCGCCGACCATAACCGATTAGAAATCAATCACAGTAAAAACAGAAACGATGGAATGTAAATCAGTTGATGCCATTCATATTACATTATTATGCGTTGCAAGTTGCGATCCATTTGTGTCCATTTCTAAGTGCCAAAGAATAGAGATTTAACTCCTTTAACTCATAGCGAATCAAAACTATGTCGGAGGGAGAGTTCTTGTCATCTTGTCTTCGCCTTCCGGTTAAAGACTAATAGCGTAACTTATAAAAGCTGGCTCTTAATATGTATTTCTTATGATTTCTTTCTAAAGACCAATAGCGCAACTTATAAAATCTGGCTCATACTATATATTTCGTATGATTACTTTTAAGAGGAAAATCCTTCATTACATGGTAGGGGGGGGGGGGTCATTCATGTTAGCGCTTCAGGAAAACTCAAATGTGTACGGGATACTGAAAACGAACAGTCTATAGACTAAATACTCTTGGGCTTTCTGAAATACAATTTAATATAACACCGTAACAGTGAAAGGGCAGATCAGTATCCGGCTATGTAAGTCAAAGGTTGCTAATATGTTAAGCCATTAGCCTAAATTAAGGTCACCCGGAAAACTATCATTTTAATATTATCAACACGTATCCACCCCAATAGTATTAGAGATCTGAAGTGGAGGGACGGGCCAGATAATTATGTAAGGAAGGGTATCGCTGCCAATATTAAATGCTCTGCTACAATGTCTTTTCTATTGATTATATGTAAAAGGTACAATGTACAAAGTCATAATACCGGTAATGATAAAGTCAAAATAACTCTAAGGCAAGAGTTAAATGTAAAACGTCAAATATTAAGTGTTAAATGACAAATGTTTTGTGGGAAAATGCTTTTTTTGACGTGTCTACATTTTACATTTCTCTCATTACATTTTACAGTTGCTCTCTGCCACATCCCATTTGTCCTTCACGCATTCAACATAGCATGTTTCGCACAGCATCAACTTGCATATGCAAATGAAGGATATCACGTGACTTATTAACATACACGGAAACCTGGCACACTATAAGCCAGAACAAGGATATTCACGACACTATAACAGGAAATCAGCCTAGCACACAATAAAAATTTACTCACCTTGACACTTTGGATGGCACTTTATGATGATTACGGGGGGGAGGGGGGGCTGTGCAATGTCCAAATACGAAATTTCAGGTATCATGTTACATATTAGTGAAAATCACATTCATTTCTGTTTGTAAATATGTACAATCGTATTTTCATAATTTAAATCCAATAAATATCACACTATTAAAATACTGGTCTAAATACGAAATTCCAGATACCATGTTAAGTATCGCTGATTGCTCTTTTCAAATATGCAAATAATTTTCTGGCACATTCATATTTGCTTAACTTTACAAAATAAGATTAAAGTTGAAGTGAAGGAAGGGGGGGGGGGGGCTAAACTAAACTAAAATAAAGATACAGTGCTTAATCAAAAATTCTCTATGTCCATACATACAACATTTATAGTCATTCCTCTCTTTAAATATATTATTTATTTGTTGGGCACAATGCTTATATATTGTTGTTTTTTTAATGGATCGAAGTAGGCTACTCAACTCTTTATAGAGAAACCGGAAAGAGTGGGGGTGTTTAAAATATAAAAATACGGGTATTAGTACGAAATTCCAGTTATTGTGTTATAAATTACTGGAAAGTATGTTTCTTTGGCTGCTTGAATCTATCAATTATTCCCTGGCACATTCAAAATTACGCACGGTCGTCTAGATAGTTTCTTATGGTGTGCCAGCTTGATTTCTTTTGTCGTGTGGTGAATATCCTTATAGTGTGCTTGTGCCCGGTTTCCATATATGTTAATAAGTCACGTGATATCCTACATTTGCATATGCAAGTTGATGCTGTGCGAAAGTTGCTTTGTAGAAAGCGTGAAGGACAAATGGGATGTGGCAGAGCTCAACTGTAAAATGTAATGAGAGAAATGTAAAATGTAGACACGTCAAAAAAAGCATTTTCCCACACAACATTTGTCATTGAACACTTAACATTTGATGTTTTACATTTAACTCTTGTCTTAGAGGTATTTTGACTTTATCAATATCGATATTAGGACTTTGTACATTGTACTTTTTACATATAATCAATGGAAACGACATTGTCGCAGAGCATTTAATATTGGCAGCGATACTCTTCCATAATTATGAAGATGGCCACATACTATTGTGCTATGATGGAAATTCTTTCCGGACATCGGCGTTCCCGCCTGCTAATGATCGAGTCTATACTTCATGGCGTTTTATTTACGTGCATATCAACGGAACCTCGACTTTTCGTCTCAAGAGTTGGGGTTCACCGGAAAGAAACAGAGGAGAGGATACATTTCTATAGAAAACGGACAAGAACTAGATCGACAAATCTTTCGCGTATTTTGGTGAATATTCATAACGAAAAAATCCGAAACACAACCGTATCTAATGTATTTACATATTATTGTTATAACAATATTTTTTTTTCTTTCAGAGCATGGAATCAAAGAAAGAAGTAAGAAATATCCAGTAGAGTTTATGACAGGATTTTCAGAGGTTCAGTCAATTCTTTATTCCTTTAAGTCTACTGATCCACACAGGGTACACGTGCAATCCCAGCCTTTACATACAACTCGGGAAGACATGAAAAATTGAATAAATGGGGGTTTTGTTGGTGTTTTTCTCTGCAATTTCTGAATAATTAAATTAATTTCAAAATTCATGTAGATAGGTGTCTGTGGTGCGTTGAATTTGGGAGAACCAGTAAAATTGTCTATGAAGTGCAGGCGAAAATGTGACTGTCCGGACAAAATTCACCTCTCTTGCATAGCAATCGACACAATTCCATTACCCATTAAATTTAAGTTTTTTATTTTTTTTTATTAAAGATGCATTATGTAAGAGTTAAGTCTTCCTACTGCAGGTCTTTGTTTTGTTCTCAAATGTTATATAAATTATTAATTACACATTTATTCACATACCAAGCCAATATTCAGCTCTAAAGACCATCGGGTGGTCGCAATTGTTTGTGGATTGAAACACGTTTGCCAATTAATAATTTAATTTAATTTAAAAGTGGCTAATCGAGACTTGTTTATTATTGTAACAATAATAGCAATGACAATCGAGACTACATCCTAAATATTCAATATATCCCCTTTTCATTATCTATTTTAAACCATTATTGCGAGAATTGTCAGCTCTTTATCTACATCTTACACAATGCAATCTTTAATGCAAACATTTCCAACATAAAAGTGAAAGTTATGTAAATCATTGTTTTTGGGTTTTTTTCTCATTTGTTTCACAGACGAACAAGAAGACGAATAGTCGACCATCAGAAGCGGACATTAGAACATTTCACATGGAGAAATATTGTTACAAGTTACGTAAACAGTTACAGGAGGAACGCGCAAAGATTTCACAGTTTAGAAACATTTTATATGATGACAGATATAAAACATTGTTTTGTCAAATACCTAAAGTCGCCTCAACTAACTGGAGACGTATGTTTCTAATTCTGTCAGGGAAAATGAACACAACAGATCCCGGCCAGTTAAAATCATTCGACGTTCACAAAACATACGGCAAACATATAAAGCTGCTGAGTGACTTAAATCCTGAACAAATTCGCTACAGACTGAAAAATTACTTTAAGTTTGTAATAGTTCGTGAACCTTTTGAGCGGTTATTATCGGCCTACAGGAATAAATTTGGAAATCTCAGCAAAAGCAATCTGTATTTTCATAAGCGATTCGGAAGACGCATAGTGAAAAAATATCGCCCAAACGCAAAAGAGCAATCCCTTATAACAGGCAGTGACGTGACATTCAGTGAATTTGTCCAGTATATTTTAGATCCCAGTCGACAAGAGCCGTTAAACGAACATTGGACTGAATATCATAAACTATGTCTACCATGTATTGTACACTATGATTACATAGGCAAATATGAAACTCTTACAGAAGACTCAGCAGCCATTATAGATAGAATGCGAGCCTCTGACGTCATCGAATTCCCTGAACGCTCTTCTACATACCATCATAAAAAGACTGAGAATTATTTATATGACTATTTTAAACATTTATCACCCAAAACAATGTTAAAATTGTGGAAATTTTACTACCCCGACTTTTTATTGTTTAATTACACATTACCTAAATCACTGCACAATCTAACCAACCTAGTTAACTATCTGTGATGTTAGTATTTCCATAATAACTGTACTTTTACTGCAGTAATTTTCTAATAATTTTCTAATATTGACTAATAAAAATTAATGTCTTTCGAGAGGTCAGTTTTGTTGGAATGGGTACCATTTATTTTATCACGTGGACGTATAATGTCTCCCCTGTCCGTCCGTTCACATTTTGTCAGTGATGCAGGACGGGGGCCTGTCAAGGACAGCTGTCTAGTCATTCGGATGAGACGAAAAACCGAGGTACCGTGTACAAATTGACAGTTGGTATTCGATATAAGAGTAGACCGCAGTGCCGCTGTCCGGCTTTTTCTTTTAGCTTGTTCTCTACCCATCTCTTTCAAAATGTGGGCGTATCTTGCCTGGCAAACGTTGTTAAAGTGTGTACCTGTTTACTAAAATATTTGTTCGTTTGGAAGATATGCATAAAAATAAATCATAATCGTGGTTTTCTGTGGTAATCATAATAGAAATGTGGCCTTGTATTCTGTTAATAAATAAGTTGAATTTATTTAGCTTTTCATTTTTGATAGGAACCCACATGTTGGAAACTGGATGTCGGTTTAGTTACAAAACTCCAAAACACTAGTGCCTTTTAAAAGGAACAGCATGCTAAAAATTAATTCACACCAATATATTTTAAGATCACGGGAGGATATAGGAGTATTGAAAAATGAAAAGTTATATAATTTGCACACTTGGTCCATTGGAGATTAAATTAATAGTGACATTTTGGCATTTTCTTGCATTAAAAACTAGTGGTTTTAAGTTTCATATTTGTGTTCTCTAATACATTTAAATCTCGTGAAGTAATCCGGATTTGTGTAGATGACGGTTGATGAAAATGAAGTATCCGGCGTACGAGCGAGAAAAGATCTGGGAATTATCTAAGCCAGGGTTCCACTTGTTTAGAGGAACGTCTGTCAGGTCGACAAGAAAACTGTCTATGCGAAAACCCGATCAGTATCCAGTGCAGGATTTCGATTCAGAGAGGCCCTAGGATATTCCACTTTTGTGAGTCACCCCCCCCCCCTCTTTCGCCCCATCACAGGTGTATGCAGTCTTCGTTATGCCAGTTGGTGCAGAAAAGTAGGGCGTTAATCATACGGGTTGAATATTCAACAAAGTCAACATGATAACTAAGGACTTCACATGATTGTCATGGATACATTTACATAAAGTTTAAATAAAAATAAAAAAAATGCACTTACAAATATTTATTTATCTACAAGATAGGCAATTTATACGTACTACAGGAACATTTACTACACGAGGGTTTGTTACATGAACACTTACACATACACACATCGTCACATGCACAGTTGCGTTTTGTGTTGCACGTACATTGGTCGTTAAGGGTATAACTTGTGCTAAAAAAACAACTATACATTGACATAACCATAGTGAGAAATATCAAGAAGCCAAAAACTGCCATTGCCACCCATAGTTGTTTCTTGGTAACATAGCCCGAGATCAAATTATCTTCTAAATTCAGATGTTTTCTATTGGTTTCCATTGGTAAATCATTTTCCATGTCCATTGTGTCCGAAATAATCAGGATCTTAGATTTAGTGAAGAAAATTTTTTCTGAAAAATAAAATCAACTTTAAGTGAAACCATGGATCATAAGCCATCCAAAATTCACGTTCAACCAGATGAGGCAAATTTATATATTTTTATTGGAAATGTCTTGTGGTTTCGTCAAATGTTTTCTATAAGTTCATTGCAAAAAAAACTTTATTTGGTTCTTAAACTTTAATTGAAAACGGCATTTTTTAAAAAAAATCATTATTTACCGTTTTCATCGTATGATCTACGACGTCGTTCATTAGTACAGGAATTCTACAAAGAAAAAAAAAAAAAAATTAAATTATAGTTAAGTTCGGTCGAACGTTTGTTTCCCGAGTAACTGCTCGCCATTCTTGATGCAACCATTGACAGCCGGATAAGTCATAAAGTAATAGAATTACTAAAAGTAAAAGAGTCAATGCGTATATCTTTATTTCGTGTTGGTTTGGCTTTGATAATTTCGTTGGCCCACACCTGTTTCTATCAACTAGACTGCATAATCAGTCCCTTTAAATTCTTTAATGTAGAACACAAAGGTTTCAAGCAAAAAATAAAATTGAAACGAAAGTCAAATCTTATTATAATAAGAATGTAAAAGAGTGCATGTACCTACCCCATCACAGTTTTGGGCACATAATGTCAAGTTACATTCAAAATCTATAGAAGTATCTTTATTAAGCTGAAAGGCCATAAAGTAGGGACTGAATGATTTTAATCCCTTTGTAACAAAACCAGTCCCAACTTTAAATATAGAACCATCACCACACCTAAAATAAATTGTAAATAATATTGATCATTATGAATCAGATCATATAGGAGGGACATACGCTTTGTCATTTAATGCGATCTGAACCAAGCTTCGCTAAAAATCAGTTTTACGTGTTTTAAATCTGATTAAATATTTCTTGTTTTTATGGTTTTGATTCTTTTCACTACATGATATGTAACATAATCAGAACGGCTGCAGTTTAAATGTCTTATGTACCTGATTGTAGTAAATAACTAGATCAGTGCAGGCAAGCTATTGGCATGATAAAACTTAATAGATCCAAAATGGACCTCTGAATTCTGTGAAAATAAAGAATTGATTGTTCTGAGGTGTTTAGATTTGTGATTTAGGTTTTGAAAGATTAAGTTTAAGTGGGGGCTTGTTTATTAATTTTAGTTATCAAAATATAAAATCATAATGACGTACATCAAAGAAATCTAGTCATTTTGAATATAAAATACGGAACATAAGAAAAGGAAGCGAAAAAAATGAACCGAATAACATCTAATTAAGATCAGAATTCAGAATGTTAAACACATACCCTGCTCTAATAATGGCATGTCTAAATCTGGATGGCATTCCAACAGCATCACAGCTTACTGGTTTAATACCTAACTCATTATTCTTCCCTGCAAATAAGAAAACCCCACCAAAAATAAAAATGGATTTCATATAAATTTGTAATTTCGTGAAAAATGAATAAATTTGTCTGTTATATAGGCATGGAGTATGAGGATATAATTATTTTTGTCAATCCAAACGAATAGATTTAATGAACTGATCAGTCCAAATGGAGTTATCCATGACAATCAAAGACAAGTTTTCCCCTCCATACGAGACTTTTAGTGGTATGCTAAGATGACATTTAATGCAAGTTACCAAGATCTGTGCTCACAATTCTGAGTGGTCATTTTGGGACTAACACATGGCGAACAATTTTTTGTCCCATATATTCTCGCGGGAAAGGAGAACAAAAATACTTAAAAATGGTAGTGATATCCATCGTAAGTCGGCGGTCCTGTCGTGTCCTTGTTTCATTATGCGCCCTTTTATGCCTACAAAGCATCTTCCGACTATCCGCCCACCGAGGGCCGGGCTTCGCACTCCCAAGTGGGGGCAGCACGCCCCCCCCCCCCACTTCTGAAAATCCTGGATCCGCCCCTGAGTGGAGAATCGAAACCACGTCATTTGACAGTGGGGAATCGAATGACAGACGTTATCATCTAAACCGCACGTGTTAAACCAATCGCCCCACCATCATTTACTTACCATCGCTTGTAGCCATGAGTCTCACGTGACGACCTTTTTGTACTGATTTCGTTATTACTTTATGTCGTACATCCACAACATCTAGCGTTAAGACAGAAGTTGTTTTTCCACCCACATGATAGGCAATATCTTTGGGAGCAAGCAATCTGAAATTTTTATATAAGTTTGTACTTTTATCATGACAAAATACACATTTTGCTATAGTTAGATTTCAGTTCCTGTTCTATATTGACACTCATCGGTCCAGGAGCCCACACACGGGGGTAGTTAATTGGGGTTTCCGTTATCCTTAAGAAAGATGCTATTTTTATACGCCCACATTTTCATGTGGACGTATTATGCCGTCGCCCCTGTCCGTCCGAACGTCCGTCCGTATGTCCGTCCACAATTGTTTGTGGACTCTCTACAGGTCACAATTCTTATCCGATTTTGACGAAACTTGAAATATAGGTTTATCCCCAAAAGATCTCGGCTGCTTTCGATATTGGCATGTATCGGATCGAAACTTCATGGATTATGGCCCCTGATTGTACGAAAAATCCCGTTTTTAGCTTGTGGACCCTATAGAGGTCACAATTTTTATCCAATTTTTTTGAAACTTGAAATGTAAGTTTATAACCCAAAGATCTCAGTTCCTTTCGATATTCGCGCATATCGGACCGTAACTTCCTGAATTATGGCCCCTGATTGTACGAAAAATCCCGTTTTTAGCTTGTGGACCCTATAGAGGTCACAATTTTTATCCAATTTTTTTGAAACTTGAAATGTAAGTTTATAACCCAAAGATCTCAGTTCCTTTCGATATTCGCGCATATCGGACCGTAACTTCCTGAATTATGGCCCCTGATTGTACGAAAAATCGCGTTTTTAGCTTGTGGACCCTATAGAGGTCATAATTTTTATCCGATTTAAAAAACCGTATTATTATATCACCGTTACACCCTAAGGAAGGTTGAGTTCGAATTTCGTGGAAATCGGCCCAAAATTGACAGCAAAATGGCCGCCGTTCGTTCTCAAATAACGTAAAAATATGGTATATCAAGGTTGTGGACCCTATAGAGGTCACAATTTTTATCCGATTTTGTTGAAAATTGAAATGTAAGTTTATAACCCAAAGATCTCGGTTCCTTTCGATATTCGCGCATATCGGACTGTAACTTCCTGAATTATGGCCCCTGATTGTACGAAAAATCACGTTTTTAGCTTGTGGACCCTATAGGTCATAATTTTTATCCGATTTAAAAAAACGTATTATTATATCACCGTTACATCCTAAGGTAGGTTGAGTTCGAATTTTGTGAAAATCGGCCCAAAATTTACAGACAAAATGGCCGCAGTTCGTTCTCAAATAGCGTAAAAATATGGTATAACTAGGTTGTGGACCCTATAAAAAATCACAATTTTTATCCGATTTTTTTGAAACTTGAAATGTAAGTTTATAACCCAAAGATCTCGGTTCCTTTCGATCTTCGCGCATATCGGACAGTAACTTCCTGAATTATGGCTGATTGTACGAAAAATCGCGTTTTTAGCTTGTGGACCCTATAGAGGTCATAATTTTTATCCGATTTAAAAAAACTTATTATTATATCACCGTTACACCCTAAGGACGACTGAGTTCGAATTTCGTGAAAATCGGCCCAAAATTGACAGACAAAATGGCTGCCGTTCGTTCTCAAATAGCGTAAAAATATGGTATATCAAGGTTGTGGACCCTATAGAGGTCACAATTTTTATCCGATTTTGTTGAAACTTGAAATGTAAGTTTATAACACAAAGATCTCAGTTCCTTTCGATATTTGCATATATCGAATTGTAATTTCCTGAATTATGGCCCTTGATTGTAGGAAAAATCACTTTCTTGTTAGCTTGTTCTCTATCCATCTCTCGAAAATGTGGGCGTATCCTGCCTGGCAGCCGCTGGTTTTTGTCAGGAATGAATTATACCTCGCCACGAGAATCAATTCCTGAACCAAAGATCATGGGAGTAACACACAATCAGATATTTCATACGCCGAATTAATGTTCACTCTTATAGGGGAGTATATTTGTAATTATAGCCGGAAGTTATTATACCATTGCCTAATGTCGTAGCTCCGAAAGTATGCTTTTACTATAAGCAAGGGAATAACTACCTGTATAGATCATATAAATTGATACTTACGGTTCTTTCAACTTGGTAAAATTTGTTTTTTGTTCAACTTTATCATCGAATGTACAGGTAATAATGTGTTCTTGACTAGGTGTATGAATCGGTCCACCAATCTCCCCCCAATAAATCTCTACCCTAATAGTGTAAATTTGGGCGTTCGGTACTTTCTACAACACAAAATACACTTTAAGCAATATGTTTAGTTAAATATCAGATTTATGTTCACGCGAGACTTACCCTTGTCTTTTAAGACGGGACTTGGAAGGTTAGACAGTCGAATATAGTTTTAAATAGCATACCGCCTAGACCCGGTTCATATAGAAATGTGCTGGTTTCTAAGTCAGGGTACAATGTGAAAAACTAATGGAACTATAAATTGTATTCTAAGAAGCAGTTTTAACATTAAAATATTTTAAAGCTACAATTTCATATTTTTAAGTTATATTTTTAAAATTTATTAAAATAAAGCCTTAAAATAGATGGTATCCATAAACCGCCCTACCGTGTGAAAGAATAATCCTATTAATCCTATAATTCACTATTGCCAGCTGAGAAATTGGTAAAAATATCATTTTCAACTTCAAATTCCAACGTTTGAACTTTGAAGGTAGCTAATGCATGGAGGCAATAGGAAAACAAGGGAGGTAATTGTGTTATTATTTCTTGTGTCAATGATTTTTAAGGTTGGGAAATAATGCCCATGGTCGTATAATAGTGAGTTGATAACCTATTGAGCAAAAGACATAGAAATAACTATGTTTTGACTTTCTTAGAAAATATGAAATTATCGCTTTAAGAAATATGGTCTGAAAACGTAACTATGGTAATGATGTACGTTTATTAAAAATCAATAGTCAGGATCAGTACCAGTGGAAACACTTCATCCTTCATAACTAAAGAGTGAGTATACTATGATATGCTTATCAACAAGAAAGAATATAGCAAAATAGCATAAAAATCCATATTTAGTTAGGAATTGATGCAGTTTGAAACTACTTTTAACTGAGAGCATATTTACCCCAATACTAACCACTCGGGAAAACGTTATCAATATTGGCCAAGATCTGAATTCTGGAGAGTGTGTACAAGAAAATGTGCACGGACAGACCCGGTGCTGACAGTATTATACGACCATATTATTTGTCATAAAAAAAAGACACCAAGCGTAATCAAAACCATAACTTTGCAAGACTATGAAATAATTTCTAAAATTTTAGATCGATACCAGTCAACTTAAACCCGCGTCATTTTCGAACAGACTGGTAAAACCATGTCCAAGAATTTCAAATACATGTACAATCAAATCTTCCGATTTCGATTCGGCCCTCGGCTTTAACAGTTCAAATGAACGGAATGATAAGACATTTTAACGTCTTTCTAAACTACAGTTATTTTGAGATTAATATACAGTTATTTATTTAGATTATGTACAGTTATTTATTGAGAATGTATAGTTATTTATTGAGACTAGATACGATTAGTTATTGAGACATATGTGACACTATCCTGTGTCTCGGACTTTCTTCAACTTCACGTTGTGGGATCAATTATTTTAGTCATCAATTAACTGACTCTGGAACACCTTTTATGTTGTTACTAAGTTTATATTACAAATACAGCAAAATACAAAGGTTAAATAAATGAAAACTACAACATCAATTATGGATACTTTAGGAGTTACAAAAATATCCACGGTCTGAGTTTAACATCCTTTATAACCCTGATCTAACGGCTTAAACATCACATTTTGTCTCTATCCGAGGCGGCTGTGGGTATGACGTTCCCCTAGGAACTCACGGATTATGTCCTCTCTACGGTCTCATCATGATGTCTGTATCCCTGGCTTCTTAGCCTATAAACCCTGTAGTATTACATATACAGTTATTTATTGAGACTTATATACGGTTATTTATTGAGACTTATATACGGTTACTAATCTACTTTTAAAATGTGTGCAAAACGACGGAAACATTTGTTCTAATGTTTTCGGGTTTGAAGTTCAGGTATATTTTAAATGTTTTCCTATGTATAGTGTATATACGAGCTGACCTCAGTTTTTCACCAAAGACACGTTTCTGTCGCGCCAGTTCCAGAGATTGGACTTTACGCCCACTCGAGAGAAACTGGGTATTTCGGGACTGTAGAACTCAGTGATAGTCTTACCTTAAACGTACACATTGAAGAACTGTCCTGGAACGTTGCGTTCAGATCATGACTACTGGGATCAACAGAGGTAAAGTTAAATACACCATTTTTACAGTACGCCTTCGTCAGTATGTGTAAATCAGTACGAATATGAACAATTGGTTTATTCAGTTTCGCAGTATTACCACATTCATGATCAACTGAAATTTTTCAAAGAAAACATTTCATTTAGCACTATCAAGCTGTTGATTCCACAGACAGAACGCAGGATTTGAAAAATAGATAAAGGGTTTCTTTGGTAATGGTTCATAATAAGACGTCTTTATTAGTTAAGCGCGGAAGAACCGCGCCACACACAAACAAAATGTGTTCCGACCCCCCAATATGAATTTCGATCTGAGAGAGAGAGAGAGAGAGAAATGGGGTTTAACGTCCACTCGACACAAACTAGGTCATTTCGGGACTAACATATGGTTTAACTTTATTTCAATAATTCGCTTTCGCATAGGGGTCTTTAGCAGTGGGAGGAAACCGGAGGACCCGGAGAAAACCCACGAGGTTGGACAGGCGACCCTACTCCTTGTCACGTACAACTGGGGACTCGAAACCACGCCAGTCGACTCAATGACAGACTTTATGATACAGCGCGCGCACGCTAACCATTCAGCCATCCATCCCCCCGAATTGCGATCTGACGGGCACGATTTATAAAAAAACATGGCTTGGTTTTGGCTTTGAATATTTCAATCATTTCTCTGTCTGTTTTATACACATTTTCTTCAAAATGCGTCTAAAGTATAGTGATGCCCAGTCATTATGGAACTGGCGAAATTCATCTGAACCAATATAAACAGGCACAATCCAACAATTCTATCAAGCGGTTCCGAAGAATGCGAAAATATGAAACTGACGAAAAGGTGGAAGAATGGTAGGGCATGTGACTATTGGCCATTTGAATAAAACAAACAGGCACATATAACTTAAAATATCTTTCAAAAGTAACATTAAGCTGGGGCCAGATATGCATAAAATCTATTAAGTTCATATTCAAATACGCGAGATAATCAAATTCGGGGGTACATAAGCCGTCTGAAACTGCTTCTCTATAAGAAATACTGCAGTTTACCATTTATCAAGCAGCATCCCCATGATAAGAAAACATTCCGAATTTATACCGAGTCACAGCTGTGGACCAATGATATTCTAGTGTTAGAGTTATGAAAATGATCAGAGGGGAGGGGCTAAATTGGGGAGTTGCACCTAACAGATTTAAGCGATTGGAAGACGTTATAAGCATACTTACCAAGTAAGAGATGTCCCTTGGGTATATCCAAAGCTCCACCTGAACCCTAAAATATCATTGGGATATAAATGTGTGCGTGTGTGTGGGTGTGTGTGTGAGCAAGAGAGGGAGAGAGAATGGTGGAGTGTGTGTGGGTGCGTGTGTGTGTGTGTGTGTGTGTGTGTGGGGGGGGGGGGTAACGTCCACTCGACACAAACTGTCATTTCGGGACTAACATATTGTTTTAGCAGTGGGAGGAAATTTGATATTTGAAATCAGCGAAACATAAATATAAAGGAATTAGAAATATATACATTATTTACATAAATCATTCAGTAAATGGACATGAATATGTTTATCTACCCTTATAAAAACGAAGGGCATATAATTTGAAATCGTGGAACCCTATGGATTAACCCAGGGTATAGTGGAGTAGAAGGGAATGAGAACACTAGGGATATCGAGGATGCACACACAAAATATACAATGTGTTAATTATTATAGATCATCAATTTCCAGTTCAAACGTCAGTGCGTGCTTTTGCCGGCCGTTGCAAAGCGTGATTAACGTCCGATTCACGTGACATTGATTAGAGAGAAATGGGGTTTAACGTACACGGACACAAACTAGATCATTTCGGGACTAACAAAATTCTATTTCAATAATATGTTTGCGCTTAGGGTTCATTAGCCGTGGGGGTTTGGGGGTGCGGAGGACCCGGAGAAAACCCACGAGGTTGGAGACAGGCGACCCTTACTTCTTGTCACGTACAAGCGGGGAATCGAAACCACGCCACTTGACTCAATGGCAGACTTTATGATTTCACGCCTATGCGTTAAACCACTAGGACACCCAACCCTCCGTGACATTGATAAAGCTTGAAGTATCTCGCAAAAAATATTTCTAGTCTAAAACATTAGCTCGGAATGTGTGTAGTTGAATACGAATAAATATCTAAAAAGAATAAATAACAAATTTCCTACCAACAAAACACTCGCCACAAACCAAAGCAATCCTGTGATTAACTGTGCCATTTCTAAAAATATACATACATTATAATATAAAGGCTAGTATAAGCACATGTAATTACTATTTCAAGCTTTGGAAATTCCTGTCGTCCATTTTCATATTAAATCCATAAAGTTATAGGTTTCCCTCACGAAAATATCCCTTTTAAATAAAAATTTCCTATTTTACTTATGATTTTCTGCTGGTAACTATAGATTGTATTATGAACTGGATACCCCTTTATAGACTGACGAAACCATTTTAAGGGCAAGGTAAAGTGATACCATTTTTTTTGCAAACTAGTCTCGACACCAACAAGGCTGGACATATTATTTTCCAACACAATACACTATTTCACTGTCAAAATCCCTTTAAATCGTACATCGAAAATTGTCAATTTCGTCACTTTCTTGCCCAATCGCGGTTACACCTATAGATAAAACGATAAAAGTTGAGGGCAGCTATTACCTTACTATTGATAGTACAGTAGTGTAGTCTAAGAATTTCGATTTGCTTTCCCGTTTCCATGTAATGAAATTTCCGCGTCCTTGGTTTTGGTCCGCCATTTTTTTCAGTTTTGAAAATGAACTTTCATATCTTTAGACGAGTGATGCGAATAATCGTACTGACAACGTTAACCGGTGTAGCACCATAGGTCTTTTGTCTGACGTGGAGGGCGCCACATGCTACGTATGACCCATGCACCTTTTCTTACTACATATTTCTGTAGCCTTGTGATCGTCTAGGATTTGTCTCTAGCTGTCTTTACTTCTGCTTCACGTTGTGTATTTACTTCTTCCAGTTTCTTAAGACGTTTGTCTTACCAGGAATAATAATGCATAGTTTGCTTCTACATTTTATATAGCTTATAACTGAATACAGGTATACAAGCATAGCACAAATTACAATACTATATAGCTAAAACCACTTCTCCACCCTATCCAGCCTCTCGGCTGTCTAGGAACTCAGATGTACCCTCGATCTCTGGAATCTAATGCAAGTCTGACTTACAGGGTTCCCCGGTTTCTTTTAAAGGTAAATGAATATCATGCACAATAACGCGTGATCATGGCCCTGAACTTGTGTAATTAACAAAATGATTGGTTACTTTAAATCAAATGATGCAATTAGAATAATTCCACTCACGTGTAATTCTGGTGGTAAATAATTGACATATGTTTTCGATAAAGAGCTCTTTTTTATATGTCAACTGTCAATTACAGATACGTTCTGTAACGTATCTTCTCCACAAGCTTATGCCAATGAGCAAAGTATTAATTTTGAATACAAATTTTGTACATATTTAAGTTAAACTACGGAATATGATTAATTTATATCAATACAATTGGTGTGTCGTTTACGTCATTTGATAATATTCAAAAAAAAAATCTTTCATGAACTTATTGATGTAAGCAGCTATGGAATGGGGTTTAACGTCCTACTGTTCTGCTCCGAACTGGGCTAATGAAGATGGACATACGCCATACAGTGTGCTATGCGGGTATATATATTTTGTGGTGTAATTATCGAGCTATTTCGAGATATTTATTTATGGTTGGGCACCCTACCATATATATACCCTAAATATTTAATCCAGGTGTTTGGGATGGTACTCCATACAAAAAGTCTGAAAGTAGTCACTTGAAAGAATGGGGGATATTAGAAAAAGAAATAGTATGATTATATGGCATATTTTCCAAAGTTACAAATTTCAAAGTCATTAATGACCGATATTAGAAAAAAAAATAGATTGACTTTATGGACTTAAGTACTAAACTATAGTTTTCAACATTTTTGTGGAGTTTATATATTCAGACATCCCTGTAAGCGGTTTGAGTGGCATTATTTAGTAATTCTGTGAGAGTTTGTTATTCCCCCTGTTGTATTGTTTACCGTACAGAGCTGATTGATATATTTTCACCAAGTTACAATTTTTATATCATTATTTTGTGTGTGTGTGTTAGTTGTATTTTACGTCACGTCCGCTTCCACCGAGGTAATATTCATTTTTATAGTTCAGTGTCACCTCAATGTCGAAGCATATTTAGATACCAAAACAGTATATAGTGGTCTTTGAAATGTATCACCTTGTCTTGTTTGCGTGAATCGCAATCCCCGACTACCCAAATAATACAAAAGTACTATCTATGAATTATAACATGAAGATAATTTAAAATACACATTCGATGAATAGTAGCTAAATTGTTACCTTAAGACTTTATTATAATTCTCTGTCGTCTTGTTTCGAGTCTTTCTCCACCTCGCATTCCTAGTAAATGCACGTGCATTGACGTCACAAGCTGAGCAATAATACAAAATCACCATGATGGGACTATTTGTTTTAACTAGCTAGGGTAGGCTTAATGATACATTATGGGAGATTTGATAAAGGAAATAAAATCAAATGGGAGTATTTGTTTTAACTAGCTAGGGTAGGCTTAATGATACATTATGGGAGATTTGATAAAGGAAATGAAATCAAATGGGGTTTAACATAAACTGGGCTAATGAAGACGGGCATATGTCATACAGTGTGCTATGAGGGGAATTTTGCCCGGGCAGCGGCACTACGGCCTACTCTTATATCGAATTCCAACTGCCAAGGGATCTTTTACGTGCACGCCAATGTGTACACAGGCCACGTTTTTTCGCCCCATCCGAACGACTAGACAGCTGTCCTTGTCAGGCCCTCCGCCCTGCATCACCGACAAGGGGAATTAGATAAAGGGCTGCCAGTTCTCACTATAATAGTTAAAAACTAGATAATGTAAAGCGAATTTGCTAATAATTTCAGTCAAATTGATCCACTTAGAACCGAGAATTTAGCGATTGAATTTTCGGCCTAGCCTCGATCATCTTTACTAAAGTCGGTACGATAAAAACCATAGTCTCGATTATCCACTTCATGATTAAATCATGAATGAAAGTTGAGCAGCAAATCGGATACTAATCCAGTAAATATCTCAGGCTAGCAATGACATCGAGAGTTGATTATGGTCTGGATAAGTTAATTAAAGTCTAATTTTGCTAGGAGAGACTGACATTTCCTCATATCTAGAAGCTCAGGTCTGATCCAAGGTTATTTATTTTATATGTAGGAACTGACCATTGCCTAATTTACCCTGGCTCAACTGGCGCGATCGTACCGTGCTTCTACGTACATTTAATCCCCGCGCCCTACAGGCTGCAATTCTTAATCGATCATCTTGTGTGTGTTTCTCCTACAGGGCGCAATTCTTAACAGATCCTTTTGAAGCTTTGCATACCTATTCCTTATACCCTAAGGATGACCCCTATTGTTTGTTAGTGATTGCCTGGCCCCAGGATCAGCGCCACACCCATTCTTTCTTTGTGTATCTGTGTGTTGCCTACAGGCCAGGATTCTTAATGGATCGTCTTGGAACTTGGCATATGTATTCCTTATAGCCCAAAGACAACTGCGTGTCCCGAACCCCAGGGGCAGAGCCACGCACAATTTTTGTGTTTACCGTAATACAGGCCGCAATTCTGAATTGATCAGCGTGGAACTTGGCATATTATTATGTATTCCATATGGTATAAGGGCGGCAACTATTGATTTTGGGCGCGGGGGTGGGGTGGGGGTGGGTGTGAATGTAGAAGCCCGACACGATCGCCCCACTTGCGCCAGGGTAAATTAGGCAATGAACAGTTCCTACATATGAAATAAATAACCTTGGATCAGACCTGAGCTTCTAGATAAGAGGAAATGTCATTCTCTCCTAGCAAAACTCTGTAACCTCTCGATATATACAATTATTGATTCGTATAATAATATACCCCCCACTTGGAAGGTGATGAGCATGGAATGAGCATGGAATGGAGTGAGTGTGTGTGTGTGTGGGGGGGGGGGCGCTCCGTCACTGCAGCTTTGGGTGGGCTGTAAAAACGAACAAATGAATATCTTTATTCTGCAAGTTTATCATTAAATAATGCACAAAATTATACAGCTTAAAACATCGGTTGAGACGTGTTCGATTGTATTATCTCGAGCGCTCGACTTACTATCTCGAGTGCTCGACTTCACTATCTCGAGCGCTCGACTTAATATCTCGAGATATTTTTTTTTTGCGTGTCCTAAATCAGCCACCATATAAAAATGTCGTATTGTCGGGTTAAAATGTCGTGATGTCGGGTTGTGGTATGGCATATTCAGTTAAGCCTACGGTTGTCACGTGATCGTGCCCGCTGGGAACAGAATAAATGATAGATTGAAGGGAAAGAGTTTGAACAAATTTCGATAACTTTATATAATACTTTTCTCCGGTGATTAGAGATACAAGGACGCCGCTGGGATCATCTGGGACCGGTTGTTTAAAGCTCTGTTAACTTTTAACGACTCGTTAAACATACATTATGCAAGTCTTTATTTAGGCTTCAGATGTTATAGAAATTATTAATTAGACCTTTATTTACACGACAAGGTCAAAATCTACTCTGTAGACCCACGGATGGCTTAGATACAGTTTGGATTTAAACAGTCGTCCATTTAAAATTAAATCAATAAATGGCAGACCAAGCTAACTAAACCGTTGGTTGCTGATGCCACTACCGGAAACTGGCGATGCAAAGCAGGGCAACCATAGTCAATCACTCGGCAAACCTAAGCAGATTCCTTACCCTACATCTAGCCTGGGCTGTATGACGAAGTCTGTCATTGGAACTACTTTCAAGTTCCCGGATTTACCAACGGAGTTGCCCTTGACGACGCATTTGAAGAGTGTTTTTCATACAAATATTTCAAAGTCTGAAGTCTTTTAAGTTTATCCGATTTTCTTCAAACAAGGACAACCTTGCACTGAAAAATTCTAAACACGCTTCGAACGACGCAATTTTTTTCAAAAGCGGCAAGTTTTCCTAATAAGTAAACCGGTGCCGCATCGCAATTGTATAGGTGTAAGTACATATCACTTACCGTCATACAGGGGGTCACGGTGGCTAAGTGGGTAAGACGCTGGTTCGCTAGTCTGGAGGTCCAGATTTTCCGGTGGTCCCCCCTTGTCAGTGATGCAGGATAGAGGGCCTGACAAGTACAGCTGTCTAGTCATTTGGATGATACGAAAAACTGAGGTCCCGTGTACACATTGGCGTGCACGTGAAAGATCCCGTGACAGTTGGAATTCGATATAAGAGTAGGCCGTAGTGCCGCTGTCCGGGCAAAATTTCATCATAGCACACTGTATGGCGTATGCCCGTCTTCATTAGCCCAGTCCGGAGCAAAACAGTAGGACGTTAAACCCCATTTCATTTCATTTCTTACCGTCATACAGCCGAGGCTAGATGTAGAGTAATGGAATTTCCGAGGTTTGCTGAGTGCATAGCCAATGCGCATGTTACTTGATAATCGAGAATATATGGGTGGAGTTATCGTCTGTCAATCAAACGATCGCCAATTCTCATAGACGGTGCAGACACAATTGATGCCTATTTCTAGTCCAAACTTCCAACAGTGACAATTCCGTTCAGAACAAAGTAATTTGACTGAAATTTTTAACATTTTCTTTTTTTTATCATCTATTTTTGAATTATTATAGCAAGAATGGTCAACTCTTTATTAAACTCTTAACTAATGTATCTTTAACATGGAGTTAATGGATCGTTATCTTTAACGGAGAGAAAGTCTGTTGCTGGAAGCGCCGTTAAGTTTAACATGTCGTTAACTCACTGTTTGTGTATCTTTGTATAATTATGTCCATGTATGTATCCTTCGTTTGTTTCATGTATATTTCTGTTATTTTTGTTTGTATATGCACAAAACCTTGTAAGGTTTTTTATACAATAAAGTTCCTCCTTAATGGAGATGTTGGGCATGAAATTTGGGTCTCGGGCGAATTTGGGCCTCGGGCGAATTCGCGCCCTTGAAGAATTTGGGCCTCGGTCGAAGCCGTGTATCCTGCTAGTCAAGAAATATAGAAGATCCATAGGGTCATATATACCGACCAAAAGAAGCAATTCGTTGCTCTTTCTACGCTTATACGGAAATGCGGAAACGATACCGTCTCTTCAGATGTTCAGAAGCTAGTGACAGATTTTTATAACAGAGATGACAATTGCAGAATGACACCTGGTAAAAAAGATACCATAACTCGCCACAAAGAGAAGGTACAGAAGCGGCTACTTTCCGAAACCTTTCAGATTTTGTATGAAAATCCGTAAACCCTAATTTCTTATTCAAAATTTTCAAAATTACGACCCTTTTGGGTTGTCATTCTACCCATTTCAGTTAGGGACACGTGTATCTGCAAACAGCACAGCAACTTTCTAAAGAACAGATGATGGTGTGTGACATTTATTTATTTATTTATTTATTCTTCAAGTAAAGGTTACAACATGACAATAAATTAATGTATTATAATAAGAACTAGTGTCGCATTACACGACTGGGAAAGTGACAACAATAATTACAGATATGTATATGAAAATAAGAACTATGTGTTACATTGTAATGTGGGATGCCATATGAGACAAGCATAGAGAAATATGATAGCTATGGTGTCATGAAGAGACCTTTACTTAGGATAGCCCATAAAGCCTGACGTATATAACATCCGTTGCTTATTTCCAATGGGGTCCAAAGTTGCCAAGGTCGCGTCAGGTCATCATTGGGAGGCAAAATTTAATAAACATGCCATCACAGCACTGTATCACAAATAATAAAATATATACAGAATAAAGCTTGTGTGTATCTATAGGGATTTGAAACTTGTAAAGACCAGTGGTTAGAACGTATGCCAAGAGAAACCGTGGAACAACGGATCAAGACTATGAAGAATGGCGACGAAATGTTTGAGGTAAAAATAGCAGTAAAAGATTTGAATCGTCATTTTAGGACCTAAAAGAGAATTTTGAAAAAAATATGAATGAACGGTTCGCTGTACACGTATAATATACAGCACCAATATAAAGTTCTTCGTGAATTGAGATCAGCACTCCGTGATGACGAAGCCATGGTGCACTTCGATTTATCCGGGATCTATGCGTGCACGTATAGTGAAGAAGTTCAGAGCGTTCACTTTGGGCCATCCAGAGATCGGGTCACTCTTTATATTGGTTTGTGGGCACCAATCAAACTCATCCCTTCTGCAGTATTTCGGCGTCAATGCAACGTGATCCAGTTGCCATTAAATTGGGCACATTTGTATTAATATTGCTAGAATTTTTGCTCTTACAATTAAGGGTGGCATTATATTTCATTAATTAATGTCCTTGGCCAATTGTACTAAATATAAGTGACAGGTTGACACATAAAAACAGTTATATAGCCAAAACATACCTGGTTCTACGTGTCTACAAAATACAT